ATATAATTTTAATGCATTGAAAATGATATAATTTTAATGCATTGAAAATGATATAATTTTAATGCATTGAAAATGATATAATTTTAATGCATTGAAAATGATATAATTTTAATGCATTGAAAATGATATAATTTTAATGCATTGAAAATGATATAGTTAGTTAATATACATGTTTATTCATGGGCAAACGTCAACTGTTTAAATCACAGCCACCTCACATGCTGTTACACATAACTGTATAGGCCTAGAAGTATATAAAGCATTAAAGCTACTTTCTGTAAAAAAAATCACACTGTATGGCCAAGGGTATAGAATTGCTAAGAATAAGGTCACAGCAAAAGAGAAAAAAGGCTATTACATATAGTTGAAATACAAACGAATTCAAATGTTTATCAAATTAAATGAATAGCAGTTTTAAAACTAAAAAAAAGTTTTCTGCAGCTCACATTTCAGAACTGCCAATGGTGAATGGCACAATGCCCAGTAATGTAACCGGATCAAAAAATATCATTATTCTCATTCTCAAGAATATTCTCACCTCACATCAGTGGCGTAGCATGGGGGGTGCAGGGGGGGCCGGCTCACCGGGCGCAACATCTGGGGGGGGGACGCTCGCACTTGCAGTGATAAAATCAGTGCTAAAATCCACGGGTTGGGGGCGCAAATTACTTGCCTTGCCCCGGGTGCTGACAACCCATGCTACGCCACTGCCTCACATCACTACCTATAAAGCCCTATAGGGCTGAGGTCCAAGCTATGTGAAAGATCCAACGTCCTCATGTGAACCTGCCTGGGTTTTGAGATCTTCAGGGAGGCCCTTCCCTCGGTCCTGCCACCCCCACAAGCAAGCTGGATGGGGCCGCATGACAGGGACTTCTCGGTGGCTGCTCCCAGACTTTGGAACCGCCCCCCCCCCCCCCGGAGAAGTCAGACTGGCTCCCTCCTTGCTGTCCTTCACAGGCAGGTCAACGCCATTCTTTTGCGGACTAATTGGTTGGGGTTTTTTTTAAAGGAAGGGCTTTTGCAGTTTTCCCCACCTGCATTTTAACAGATTTGTTTTTCCATCGTTTCAATTCTAGCACAGTTTAGTTACTTCTGAGCCAATATCTGTTTTTAGCTTTGCAATGTTTTTAACAGTTTTTAATTTTTGGGAGCTGCATCGAGTCCCTGTTCCGGGGGGAAGGCGCGATATAAATAAATATAAATTGAGAGAAGCTGAGGCGGCAGTCCTAGCCCTACCCGACCTGGGAGTAAGTCGCATTAAGTTAGGTAGGACTTACTTCTGAGTAGACGCGGCTGAGGAGTGCTCTGTTCAAAAATCCCCCATGAACCACATGTGGCAGCTGAGTAACTTGAACTGCTTCCCTCCTCCCCACACACATAAGGACCCACCATACTATCATCAAAACACATGAAAAAGTGCTTTATACGGATTCTGGAGCCCTTGGTATATTGGCTAGCAGGGTTCAGGCAGGCAGCCTCTCCCTGGGACCTTTCCCCTGCAAATCAAGTGTTGTATCCCTAAGCTATATGGTCTTCCCCCTGCCCCAAAATGAAGTAGAATTCAATTCCTCTGGCTTATTTAGACAGAAAGCTGTCTTATAGGGCTCAGACAAAGGGCTCAGAATTGTCAGTGGCTGCCCAGGGTTTGGGGGGGGGGGCAGGAGCCTCTCCCTGGAAAAGCTGAGGCTTGATCCCAGGACCTTTTAAATGCATTTTAATGTATTTTTAATCTTTGTTGGAAGACGCCCAGAGTGGCTGGGGAGGCCCAGCCAGATGGGCGGGGTACAAATAGTAAATTATTATTAATTATTATTATTATTATTATTATTATTATATCAGAGATGGTCCTTTCCCACCCAAAATAAAGGAAGACCATCGTTTTCCTGGCTTCAAATTAAAGGCTGGCTTAAATAGGAAGGTGCCGTATCCAGAATCATATCTTGCACAGTGTTTCAGGCAAGGGCCTTTGCCCCAGTCAGTGCCGGATTTACGTATAAGCAAAACAAGCTATAACTTAGGGCCCCCAAGAGAAAAACTTAAAGCAAAAAACAATAACTGGGTGTACATTTCCAAAATATAAAATAAAAAACAAATAAAACCAAACCTACATACAGCAACAGTGTTTTGTGTTGTGCAGGCTCCTATGGTGCAAGTAATGGAAAATACAGCACATATTCAATGCAAAAAACAGCCCACCTGCTGTTGACAAAGGACAGCTGGACATATAAAGGGCCCCATTGCCTTCAGTAGCTTAGGGCCTCATCAAATTCGGCCCTGGCTGCCAACCAGTGTTGGCAACGCTGAACTAGATGGACCCAATGCACATCACCTCGAGTTGTAGACCTGCGATAAATAGCTGGATGTACGCTTGCAAAATAGAAGATAAAAAACAAATAAAATAAAACCCACATACAGCAACAGTGTTTTGTATTGTGTAGGCTGCTGTGATCTAAGTCATGGACCCCGCCTGCTAGCCTGCTCCCTAAAATATCACTGGTTTGCTCATTTCTATATAGAGGGTGTCTACATTCTGCATGGACTGGTTGCATGGCAAGATGCGCAAATGGCTTTAGATATGTATTAGGTCCATAAATTACCATATAGCATATATTCAACACAAAAAACAGCGATAATTTGTTGTTGACAAAGGACAGCTGGACATATAAAGGGCCCCATTGCCTTCAGTAGCTTAGGTAAAGGTAAAGGGACCCCTGACCATTAGGTATAGTCATGGCCGACTCTGGGGTTGCGGCGCTCATCTCACTTTATTGGCCGAGGGAGCCGGTGTACAGCTTCCAGGTCATGTGGCCAGCATGACTAAGCCGCTTCTGGCGAACCAGAGCAGCGCACGGAAACGCCGTTTACCTTCCCGCCGGAGCGGTACCTATTTATCTACTTGCACTTTGATGTGCCTTCAAACTGCTAGGTTGGCAGGAGCAGGGACCGAGCAATGGGAGCTCACCCCGTGGCGGGGATTCGAACCGCCGACCTTCTGATCGGCAAGTCCTGGGCTCTGTGGTTTAACCCACTGTGCCACCCGCGTCCCCATATAGCATATATTCAACACAAAAAAACAGCAACAATTTGTTGTTGACAAAGGACAGCTGGACATATAAAGGGCCCCATTGCCTTCAGTTGCTTAGGGCCTCATCAAACCTAAATCCGGCCCTGGCCCCAGTCCTACCTGCAGATTCTGGGTATCAAACCTTCTGCATTCAAAGCAGATGTCCTGCCCCTGAACTGCAGGCCAGGTCACCGCTGCCCATGGACGTAGCCAGGATTTAGGGGGGCAGGCCTTTTGTTAGGGGGCGCAGAACCTTAGTTTGCTATGCATTTTTATTGATTTGGGGGGCAGCTGCCCCTCCCTGCCCCCCAAACCCACCCCGCATCCAGCCACCCCCCTACCTGCCTACCTTCACACTCACACCTTGCAGAAGGAACAGTCTTTCGTTTTGCAGGGGGTTCCCGCACCTGGATCCTACCCTCACCCCGACCCCTCGCACCTGCCAGTCCGCCCCAAGGCCACCTATGCCAGCCACGCCCTTCAGACTGGGCTGCAGCCAGCAAGCGCCCGCCCACCTGGCACATGCCCTACCCACGTGCGCGGAGCCTCACCTGGCCGCACACCTTGCACGCGTGACCCGAGCCGACACGTGTCGCGCACGCGAGGGAACGCCGCCACCCTCACCCTCCTCCTCCAAACCCCAAGCAAGTGGGGTTTTAGCGAAGCGGCACTTGGTTCGAGGGCTGCCACGTCTGAACCCGCTGACACGCGTCCACTCGCCTCGCCCGCTCCCCAGGCGCTGCTGCCCTCTCACCTTCACCTTCTTCTCCCCCGGACTGCGCTGCTGCGAGAAGGAACCAAGCCCCGGGCATCGTCAGAGGGGAGCGCCGGGAGGTGACGTCACGCCAACCGCGACGGCCACCCGCACTGCCTCATGGGAGCTGTAGTTTCCTGTTAGGCCTTCCCTTGCGTCCTTCCAGCTGCAAGGTTGCACGGAAAGGTAAGTCCCGGGGCTGGAAGCTGCATCGGGATATATGTGGGCTGTTGTTGTTGTTCTTCTTATTATTATTATTTAATAATAATAATAAATATTACTATTAATAATATAATTTGTATATAGTATGATTGTTAATAATAGTATGTATGGGTTTAAGTGATGTTGTAGTGATATCATGGGCAGGGGGGCAGCTGCCCCCTCCAAATCAAGTAAATAAATAAAAATACTTAACTAAAAGTGGAAATAATCAGAATATTTGAAATGAATATGTTCGCCGAGGTCACTTGGATGACGTTGTGGTGCAATCTAGCGACACAACTGGCAACCTGATAGATCCTCTCTCTTGCTTAGGCGTGTGCCACATGTACTCTAGGATTCAGTATCTTATGGGGTGTAAAGACAATGGAGTCTGCTTACTGAGTGTGCACAGAAAAACTGCATTGGGGAAAAAGGAGGAATTTGAGAAGGGAATGCTGAAATGGTTTTCAGCAATCCAGGAAAACTTGTTTCAGTTTAGAATTATTGTTTTTTAATAAGATAAAAAAGGTGTGTTCTTTGTAATTTTGCAAAATGTACTCATTAACCAATGAAAGGTACTCCCTGGTGTTAATTTTTTAACTTCCTAGTTTTCAAATGACTGAAGATTCCGACAGATTTTTCTGAACACTTGGGGTCCAAAGAAAGTAATTGAAAACAACGGCTGTTGAGACATTTCATTCCGAATCTGCTAGACAGAGCCAGACAGGCGATGAAGACAGGTGGGTGTCCTGGCCCCGTTACATAAATCCTGGCTACACCCATGAGGCATACGCTTTTAATTTTTAATTTTAACATTATGTTGCATTGCTATTTATTTTTGAATCAAATAGCTATTGTATGTAGACTAGGCCACCCTGTATCAGCAAATTTTTAATATCTAATGTTTTACCATTTTTTATGTGCTGTAAGCCGCCCAGAGTAGCTGGGGAAACTCAGCCAGATGAGTGGGGTATAAATAGAAGAAGAAGAAGAAGAACTTTGAGCAGAGAAAAATTCCATAGTGCACTCGCAGCTGCACAACCAGATTCCCCACCTGCCCCAGCTGCAACAAAACATGTCTCTCCCATATCTGTCTTGACGGCCACAGCAGGTGCTGAAACTCTCCAATGCTGTGACTTCACTCCCAAAGATGCTCTCCTCCACCGTCTTCTGGGACAGACGGATGCCAACGGCTTTGAGCACAGATAATTAGCTGCCAGGTCAAGTTCAAGGTGTCGGGTTGGGTATCGAAAGCCCTACACAGCCTGGGACCAGGATCCCTGAAATATCACATTGTCCTGTATATGCCAATGGGTCACTGTGCTCTGCAAGCAAGGGCCAAGGGGGTGGTTTTTATTTATTTATCTGGTGCTGAAGTGACTGCAATGCAATCCAATACAATCCGTTGCAGCCTAACAGGATGGCCTCTCTGGAATTTATCTCTTTCTCATACACACACACACACACACACACACACACACACACACAAATTTGCAAATCTGTCTGTGCTTTGCTACCCAGAGCTTAAATGCATGACATTGTTGATGAATCTATTCCGGTGAAGAGTTAAGAGGAGTAGGACCCACTGACTCCCCTCTCTGCACAGTGTAGTGTCTGAAATGCGAATTGGGACGCCTCCTTCCATGAGCACCCCCACCGGTAAAGAAAACCAACAGTCGTCTCGTTTGTTTTTGTAAACTTTTTACTGTAAAAATCTCCGGTCGAAATCTGTACAACTTTTTGTGCAGGAAAACTAGGCATCCTACTAAGGAAGGGGCCAACTTTCCCAAATAAATACGTACAGCTCTTGGAAAGTGCCTCTCTGGGGCCTGCCTTTGATCTGTTTCGGGTGTGACGTCAGACCAAGGGGAGAAATTCCTAGAATGCTAGGAATTTGCCCAGCAAATTGGTGCCTCCCCGATCCAATGTTAAGTCAAGCCTGACTTGACTTTCTCTGGCCCACTTTGCAGAACAGGAGGAAGTGAAGTCAGCTAATGTTTCCATTCTGCCATCGCCTTACCACTTCAGTGTGGGTCAGGGTGGGAGTTGTGGCTGCCACTGGGATGTCGAGAAAGGGGACCAAATCGCAAAATTATTCAGTTTATTATTAGATATTTACCAGTAACTGGGAGGCACCAATTGGATGTTCTGCCTGGAAGTCTAGGGCTGCGTACACAGTGGCACATTGAAAGCACATGGCTCCCCCCCCAAAAAAAAAATCACGAGAAGTGCAGTTTATACTTAAGGGTGCTGGGATTTGTAGCACTCTTTAACAAACTATACTTCCCAGGATTCTTGGGGTCAAGGGAACCATGTGCTTTAGAGGTGTAGAGAAACACTTTGAGCTGTCTCTAAATAGATGCTACTAAAGCAGAATCGGAGAAATCCTTCGCTGGAGGCTAAAAATTGAGGCTACTTCCCTGACTAGGGAATTTTGAGCACCAGGGATGATGGGAAGGAACAAAATGGGGGGTTTCAGCAAGGCTGGAGCAGGATAAATTTCCAAAGGATCCTGCCGCATGTTAAAGGTTAATTAGGAGGAAGGATGCTAATTAGGAGGAGGAAATAATTCTGCCTGGGACACCAGGATCTCTCTCCCGACTTTGGAACTGGACACCCTTCCTCAAGAGGTGGGGCGCAGACATGACGGATCTGTCTCCAATCCTTTCTGTAAATTCAAGGGATTCCTCATTCCTGGTGGAGCTTTTCCTGCAGAGGCATAAAAATGGGAGGAAAGGATTTCCCCTCCCCATTCTCTGTCCTTCTGGAAGAGGCAGCTCTAAGGGTCAAGAAAGGACACAGCAATGTAGCGGGTCCCTTTGGTGGTGGGGAGCCCCTCGTGGTAATGGGTCAGGCGGCCGGGGTGCATGAGAGTCCACCCCTTCCGGGGCGCTCTGATGGAGCAGTTGTATCTCAGGAACCGACAGCCTCCGCCCTGAAAAGAAGGAATAACGTTTTTTTAATAAAAAAAACAACAGCAACAAGCTTTTGTAGTGGAATTATAGTACAGTACTGTATATGTCGAAGGGACGCGGGTGGCGCTTTGGATTAAAGCACAGAGCCTAGGATTAGCCGATCAGAAGGTCAGCGGTTCGAATCCCCGCGACGGGGTGAGCTCCCATTGCTCAGTCCCTGCTCCTGCCAACCTAGCAGTTCGAAAGCACGTCAAAGTGCTTCCCGCTCCAGCGGGAAGGTAAACGGCGTTTTGTGCGCTGCTCTGGTTCGTCAGAAGCGGCTTAGTCATGCTGGCCACATGACCCGGTCAGTAAAGCGAGATGATCGCCGCAACCCCAGAGTCGGCCACGACTGAACCTAATGGTCAGGGGTCCCTTTACCTTTATCTTTACCATATATGCTTTGATAGATAGCCTATATGCGAAGAAAATGTTTTTTTTTTTAAAGGGTGTGAAAGGATTTTGTTAGGAGAATCTGCTTACTCAGACTGTCTTGAGAATGTGTCAAGGATGTTTGCGCAGGAAAAAGTCAGCCTTGATCTAGCCAGACAGAGAAGAGACACTTAGTTCTTCCTGGTAAATCAGACATCCAGCTTTGATAATGCAGGCATCCTTTTCCTGGGAGAACATGACTTTATTTTATATGCATGTGCAAAGCTAAAGTGTGGGAGTGCCTCTACATAAGTGTTGGATTAGGACCCAAGAGACCAGGGTTCAAATCCCACTCAGCCATGCCACTCTGATTGGGGGAACCTTGGACCAGTCACCGCCTCTCGATCTAACCTACATTACAAGGTTGTTGTAGGGATTAAATGAGGAAGTGGTGCTTCAGGTTAAGAACAGTTTCAGGTTAAGAACGGACCTCCAGAACGAATTAGGTTCTTAACCTGAGGTACCACTGTACAGTGGTACCTCGAGTTAAGTACTTAATTCGTTCCGGAGGTCCGTTCTTAACCTGAAGCACCACTTTAGCTAATGGGGCCTCCTGCTACCGCCGTGCCGCCGGAGCATGATTTCTGCTCTCATCCTGAAGCAAAGTTCTTAACCCGAGGTACTATTTTTGGGTTAGTGGAGTCTGTAACCTGAAGCGTCTGTAACCCGAGGTACCACTGTAAAGTGGTACCTCTGGTTGCAAACGGGATCCGTTCCGGAGCCCCATTCGCATCATGAGCAGAATGCAACCCGCGAGTGCATGGGTCGCGATTCGCCGCTTCTGCGCACGCCGTCATTCTGAGCATCTGCGCATGAGGCGATACCCGGAAGTAACCCGTTCTGTTACTTCCGGGTCGCCGCGGGACTCAACCTTTCAGAGGAAATCTGAACCGAACGTAACAAGAGGTATGACTGTAAGTCACAGTCTGACTTAGTGTGTCGTCTGAACCCGGGCAAGAGGTTTACCTCTCTCCGGGCTAACTGTGAGTGGTAACTGAGGTTAGCTAGTGAAGAAAGGTTTCAGCGTTTGGAACTTTTTAGGCAAGTAAGAGACAACATGATAGAGATTTATAAAATCATATACGGCACAGAGAAAGTGAATAGGGATTGTTTTCCCCCTCCCTCATAACCCTGGAATTTGTGGACATCTAATGAAGCTGAGCGTTGAGAGATTCAAGACAGATAATAAAATCGCAGAGTTGGGAGAGACCTTGAGGATCATCTAGCCCAGGGGTCAGCAAACTTTTTCAGCAGGGGGCCGGTCCACTGTCCCTCAGACCTTGTGGGGGGCTGGACTATATTTGGAAAAAAAATATGAACGAATTCCTATGCCCCACAAATAACCCAGAGATGCATTTTAAATAAATGGACACATTCTACTCTTGTAAAAACATGCTGATTCTTGGACCGTCCATGGGCCGGATTTAGAAGGCGATTGGGCCGGATCCAGCCCCCGGGCCTTAGTTTGCTTACCCCTTGCAATTCAAGAATATGCAGCAGCTGCCCCATATGGGGATCGAACCTATGACATTGGTGTTATCAGCACCACGTTCTAACCAACTGAGCTATCCATAAAACAAAGGCCTTCTTGCAGAGCATAGTTAACCTGTGGAACTCATGCCCACAGGAGGCAGCGACGGCCACCAACTTGGATGGGACTAGGTGGGCCGTTGGCCTGATCCGGCAGGCTGTTCTTATTTTCTTGTGAATCCCAGCCTGTTAGGTTCCAGATGCTTTCTGGACCGGAAGAACGATTTCCGATGGCACTTACTTCGTAATCTATTCCAACGCGGTTCAAGGCAATGTTGATGGTGAAAGTGGAGGCGTCATGGTGCGGCATCAGCGAAGGCTGCTCGTCAGGTTTGTACCGGACGACAAAGGCCAGCTCAAACTGGGTCTGTAACGGGGAGCAGAGAGCACATCATGAAAATGGCTACCATGGCAATTGGAAGGAAGACAGAGCATTGTCAGGCTAAGATTTGTCTATGGCAAGGCAGCAGATTTCACCAATGTTTCATTGCAGAAGAGTGGCATTGCTGATTCAGTTGTCAGTCTCGCCTCTCCCGATAAGCTTTGTGCAGCCACTAGTATATAAAGATTGTTTGGCACTTTTGTTAGAGGGGGGACAATCAGGGGACAAACAGCTTGAGGGAAGGGAGGGTTTGAGACGTCACAGCCGCCAGCCAGCTAGTGCTGTGCTCCACTGGCTTCTGCAGCAAACCTGGAAGAATTGATTTCCCCCGCCCACCAAACGTTGACTAGTTGGAGAGCAAGCTGAAGCTGAGTGGCAGAGGATGTGCTTTGCATAGAGAAAGATCCAGGTCTTCCTGGGAAAATCTCTTGCTTGAAACCCTGGTGAACTCTGCTGCCAGTCAGTGCCTAGCTAGATGGCCCGATAGCCTGAGTCCATATAAGGTGACTCAGGAACACAGGAACCTGTCTTCAACCTGGTCCATCCAGTTCAGTATTGTCTACACAGACTGGCAGTGGCTCCCAGACAAGGGAGATTCCCAGCTCTACCCGGAGCTTGGAACCTTCTTCATGCCAAGCAGGCATTGAGCTACAGCCCTCCATTGTGCCGCCTTATACTGAGTTAGACCAATTGGCCCATCTAGAACTGTCTGCACTGGCTGGCAGCGGCTCTCTGGGGTTTCAGAAAAAGGAACATTATTCCCAGTTCTGCTTGAAGATGCTGAAGGCTGAACCTAGGACCTTCTGCATGCAAAGCAGGTGTTCCACCACTGAACTATGGCCCTTTTCTTAAGACACAGGAAACCGTCTTATCCTGAGTCAGAGTATTGGGCCATCTAGCTCAGTATTGTCTGCGCTGACTGGCAGCAGCTCTCTGGGGTTTCAAGAGGGAATCTTCTCCAGTTTCACCTGGGGATTGAAGATGAGACCTTCTACATGCATAGCAGCTGCTCTCCGGCCCTTCCACAGCACAGTACCTCTTGGGGGTTTTAAAACGCATATGTGGCGTTTGCCCTCCTAGGTGACATCATGCTGGGTCATAAGGAAAGGGTTAAATGAGTGTGAAGTGATTGGCAAGTGGGAACCCAAGGGGAGGAGTCAGAGTTAGTGTTGTTAAGGGTCAGTCGGGTGTTAGAGAAGGGAGAGTGAGGATAAATCTGTGGGTTGGGATAGTTTGATGTGAGAGAGTGAGAGAATCTGTTAAGAGGAGTCAGATAGACAGTTGGGATAATCAGTTAGAAGTTATTAGGAAGGTATAGGCCGGTAAAGAAACTAAGATTAAGAAACTGACAAGAAAAATTATCTGAAACCATAAACTTGTTCAGGCTTATAAAATAAACTTGTTTATTTGGTTTAATGTTAACAACTGTCTGGACTCCGTGTGTACCCGAGAGAAACGGGTTGGTGGCAGCGGGGAAGCAATCACAGTGGTGGCACAGAGTCAATAGACTGTGAAACGTCCGGGGACCCTGTGTGATCGCCACAGCATATTTGTGCATATTCCAACCTACCTCCTCTCCCTGCAATTACTTCCTATGGCAACCCCTCCCCTTCACCAACTTAGGGTCTCCAGTTCAAATCCAGCTGCAGGACCCAATTCCTGTTGATTAGATTCCGGACATTCTCAGAACAACAGATGAGCCATTCCTTACCTTGGTGTAGTACCCAGGGTACAGCTTCTCCGTAATGGGGGCAATATACTCCAGGAGAAACTTGTACCACTCCCGTTCAAAGTTGATCTGGTTCATGTGGATATCAATCGTCGGGACGTTTTCGTATCCCCCCAGGATCCGGGTGTCCTGCCAGGTTAAGAAGAAGAGTTTGGATTTGATATCCCGCTTTATCACTACCCGAAGGAGTCTCAAAGCGGCTAACATTCTCCTTTCCCTTCCTCCCCCACAACAAACACTCTGTGAGGTGAGTGGGGCTGAGGGACTTCAGAGAAGTGTGACTAGCCCAAGGTCACCCAGTAGCTGCATGTGGAGGAGCTGGGACGCGAACCCGGTTCACCAGATTACGAGTCCACCGCTCTTAACCACTACACCACACTGGTTAAGCGTGCAAATAGCGATGGCTCGTTGGGAGACCCCCAATACCCAGATGCATTTGAGTTTTATTATTGCATTTCTATCCCACCTCCCTTCTGACGAGCAACAGAGGTGCACACAGGCTTCAGACCCCTCCTCCCCATTTGATCGCAGCAATGGTGGGAGGCTAACAGGTGGCGAATGGCCTAAATACACTAAGGTTACCAGATTTTTTTCAATGAATCCAGAGACACTTTTCAACTTCAATAGGAATGATAGGATTTTCTCAGGGGACTGACTGTAAATCTGAGAACTGTCCCCGGAAAACGGGGACGCCTAGTAACCTTAACTGGTAACCCAGTAAGAATGTAAACAGAGCCTGCTGGATGAGGCCAGTGGCCTGTCCAGTCCAGCATCCTCTTCTCACAGTGGCCAACCAGATGCCCCTTGTGAGAAGCCTGCAAGCAGGACTCAAGACAACAACATTGTCTATTTTGGGGGCAACTACCAATCGCCAGTCCATCCTCAGCACTATCCGTGTATAAGACACCCACTGATTTTTGACATTATTATTTTTTGGGGGGAAACCTAGTCTTATACACGGAAAAATATGGTAAATTCAATATATAATAATAATATAATAATATATTTCCTTCTACCAACTGATACAGAAATGGAAAAAATACTGTTCACACAGAATGCTTTATCTAAGCAGAACCAAAAGAGAGGCAAGTCTGGGCTGTGTGCTTCTACAATGAGAAATATATAGGCTTCCTTTTTAAAGCAAAGACTTGTAATTACTTTAGGTGGTAGCCCCTTTTCAGACTTCTTTTTTTTAAAAAACACATTTTGCTTATTGATGAAGAGTTCTGCATAGCACAGAAGTTTGCATGGAACTGGCTCCCACTGGAGGCAGGGACAGCCAAGCAGTCTAGATGGCTTGGAAAGAGGACTGAGCAAATGAGCAGAGGGCTAGGCACTGAATATTCCAACATTATTGGATGCCCACGAGCTCTAGTGTTATGAGAGAGGAAGAAAATCTTTTTCATATCCGCTATCTCCAAACCGTGCGTCATTTTACAGCGGAACCTCTAGTTACGTACCGCTCTGGATGCGTAACTTTCAGGTTATGAACGCGGCAAACCCGGAAGTGATTTTTCAGGTTGTGGACAGACCCCTGGAATGAATTTAATTCATATCCGGAGGGTCCACTGTATAAACTTCTATCCAGTGAGCTTCATAGCTGAGTGGGGATTTGAACCTCAGTCTCTCAGGTCTTCGTACAATTATTTTATTGTTGTTAGCTGTTCTGAGCCCAGCTTTGGCTGGGGAGGGCTGGCTATAAATAAAATTTTATTTATTATTATTATTATTTATTTTAACCCAGAGAGACAAACAAGCAGAGCTCGGATTCAAACAATTATTCGAATCTTTCTTTTAAAGTGCATCTGTTAATGAATTTGGTAGATTTACCACCAAGGGCTGCCTTACCGTGTTGCCTCCCTTGGACCACTGGCCAAAATTCTCCATCTCTTCTACGAGTTCATCGCACGCTGCGTCGGTAAATATCGGAAACCAGTAAACATCTGGGCAGGGCTAGCAAGACAGAAGAACCGTAAGAGCTTAGGGAGTATGACAGGAAGGGCAAAGGAAACCAGCAAAATGGAAATAAAGACCAAAACGTCAGGGTTCTGGATATTTCAGGAAACATCACCTCCTGTGTGAAAACAACCCACCCCACTCCTGACCCCACACAAAGGTTTGAGAACCTATAATGAATCTCCATTGCAAACGTTGCTTTTTTGTTGTGTATGTCACAGTCACTAGCCAATCAGTGCTGGGCAGAGCAAATGAGGGCAGAGGAAGATGAGTGAATCTCTTGAGGAAGGGAGTTCCAAAGTTCCAGGGCAATCACAGAAGAGGCACTGCTACTATGTGATTGCCCTCAGGGGTGCTTTTCCTCGGAGAGTTCCATTCATCGTCCTTTTCTGTCACTCATCCATCGCCTGACTAAGATAAATTTCTTCCATCATTTTGGCTCATCCACACTTCAGCTTGTCCCGTGCCTAGAAAGCATGAGTCCCCTTGCCCCGCTGCTTTCCAAGGCAAAACCTGCTCTTTAGTGATCAATTGGAACAAAAGACAATCCGGGGGAAATCTGAATTGCTGTTTGCTCCAATTGAGCGCTAAAGAGTGGTTTTCCCTGGGGGAAAGCAGCAGGAGAGGAAGTGTGGTAACTCTCTCTTTTTCAAAGACATTTTGATTTCTATTTTCATACGTTGTTTTGATTATCTTCTCTTAATCGTATGCTGCGTATCGGATTAGGAATACCTCGTTGAAAAGCGTTTTCTTTTAAGCTTCGTAAATAAACCAATAAATGGCAGGCAACAAAACGTCTCAGAAATAGATCGCGAAATAAAACACCGTGAATTCAGGTACTTATGTTGAAGGATTTATAACCCACCTTTTAAAAAATCCACAAGGCAGCTTACAAAGATAAGAAATATGCTCTTGAGACACAAGCAATATAAAATAAATTCCCATAAACACAAAGTGGTGCTAAACAGGATTTTTTTTTAAAAAAATTAAAAGTAACCACATATTAGAACCGGGTGAAAGCAAAACATAGAACATAAAAAGGGCCTGCTGGATCAGAACAACAGCCAACCAGGTGCCCCAGAAGGGAGCCCACAAGCAAGATCTGAACCCAAGATCCCTCTCTCCTCCTGTGGTTTCCAGCAACTGCCATTCAGAAGCATTAGTGCCTCCAGCTACGAAGCCAAATGAATGTCTCCAGGGAAGCCACCACCGAAAAGGCCATGCGCACCCGAACGTGGGGCCCTAGCAGCAGGCACCTCCTTCAGTTTGCCTATGCTGCTCTTTTGTCCTCTGCACCCCAGTTCAGCAGTCCCGTTTCAAAAGAGTCAAGGGCTATTTACCGTTTCTACCAGTTTCCCTTTCAAGGCTGCGGTGTAGTTTTCGTGAATGTATTTCTCCTTCCAGTCCTGTGTCAGGAGAAAATAAGAACAAATGAACATTGGGTGGCTGGGTGGGTGAGGAAGGTGACACATTCTTAAATCATATCCTTGTGGTGTGGGGACTAATGAGTGGCAGGAGAAATGGTTTTGTGTAAGCCGTTACGGTGGCTATTAGAGACTTAAGGCTGGAACGACAAGCGTCCGCCATGTATTACCCAATGGATTGAAGATATCATGTCCTTCTGTCTATGTCTGAATGTATGGCTTATGATTGTCAATTTTATTGAGACACACATTTGGAGACAGGTACCCAGGACCTCAGGGTGGCGCTGTGGGTTAAACCACTGAGCCTAGGACTTGCCGATCAGAAGGTCGGCGGTTCGAATCCCCGCAACGGGGTGAGCTCCCATTGCTCAGTCCCTGTTCCTGCCAACCTAGCAGTTCGAAAGCACGTCAAAGTGCAAGGAGATAAATAGGTACCGCTCCAGCGGGAAGGTAAACGGCATTTCCGCGCGCTGCTCTGGTTCCCCAGAAGCGGCTTAGTCATGCTGGCCACATGACCTGGAAGCTGTACGCTGGCTCCCTCGGCCAATAAAGCGAGATGAGCACCGCAACCCCAGAGTCAGTCATGACTGACTAATGGTCAGGGGTCCCTTTACCTTTACCTTACCCAGGGGCTCATGTCTGAGAAAGATCCAGCCTAATTTTAAAAGCTTGGGCTGGGGTTCAAAATAAAGCACTGTCATAAACATAACGGTTGGCCCTGGGGGAATCGCATGCCCCATGTCTGCCAAATGTTTGGAGCTGAATTAAAATTGGAAGCTCCCATTCATAAGGGGAGCCTGGCTGCAGGATCAGGCCAATGGCCCATCTAGTCCAGCTTCCTGTTCTCAGTGGCCAACCAGATGCATCAATGGGAAGCTCACCAGCAAGACCTGAGCGCAAAAGCACTCTCCTCACTTGTGATTCCCATCCCTGCAGCTGGGATTATTCAAACCCCCACCGGCATTATTTAAAACTGTACGGAAAACCCACATCACTGCTGAACACACAGCAGCAGAACGAGCGCAGGACCTCTCCTCTTGCTCTGCTTACACATTTCTCCCTTCAAACTGGTTCCTAGAGAAATGCCGCTAGCTCCTAAGTTTTGCGAAAGGTACTGCTCGCTGGGTTATTCCGCAAGAGACACCTCACCTCCGGGTTGCTGAAGATCTGCCAGAGATCGTTGTGCAGGTGGCTTGTCTGATAAGTCTCCAGCGAGAGGATATGGCCAAACTGTTGCTGATTGGTCACAAAGAGGAAGATCCCCTGCAAAAGAGGAGAACCGTTGCTCACAATTGAAAACTAGGATCCCGTGAAGCCAATTAACCCTGTGATTTCATTTCCCAGCTGGCCTAGTCTGTGGTTTTCCTCCCCACTATTCCAGAACAACACAGCTGCTTGCCCAGGAGTGTAGTGGCAAATTCAGAAGTGCAGGGTTGCTTCATGATAGCCACAGCTATGCCCCCTTCTAAGATGATGCAACCTTCTAAGAATATCCAAGGGATGCGGGTGGCACTGTGGGTTAAACCACAGAGCCTAGGACTTTCCGATCAGAAGGTCAGCAGTTCGAATCCCCGCGACGGGGTGAGCTCCCGTTGCTCGGTCCCTGCTCCTGCCAACCTAGCAGTTCGAAAGCATGTCAAAGTGCAAGTAGATAAATAGGTACCGCTCTGGCGGGAAGGTAAACGGTGTTTCCATGCGCTGCTCTGGTTAGCCAGAAGCGGCTTAGTCATGCTGGCCACATGACCGGGAGGCTGCACGCCGGCTCCCTCGGCCAGTAAAGCGAGATGAGCGCCGCAACCCCAGAGTCGGCCACGACTGGACCTAATGGTCAGGGGTCCCTTTACCTTAAGAATATCCAATAATTAGAGAAGCATTGCAACGATCAGTGCAGATCACAATGCATTGCCTGTCAGCTAGATCTACTATTTTCTGTGCACGTACACAGAACCTTAGCATTGCAGATTTGGAAGGGACCCCAAGGGTCATCTATTTCAACCCCCTCCAATGCAGGGGTAAATTATTGGTGCTCCAATATCTTCTTTTGGAGAGACTTAAGTTGCTTTTTCTGCAAAGTTCCATTTGCAGAACTTGCACACTTTTCTCTTGAAACAGAAGCATACAGGACAGCTCCAACTCCTTGGTGCTCTTCTCCAGAGTGACCCCAGGAGCTGATCCTCACTTCCTTGCTTTCCCTCTAGCTCCAATCAACACCAAAGGGCGAGGAGATTTGATGCTGATTCAGTGGCTCTAGGATGCGGAAAGCAAGTACCCTGCTGCAGAGATAACAACAGCAATTTGCACACACACCCCAACGGCCTCGGTCCTGTATACCTGAAGGAGCATCTCCACCCCCATCATTCAGCCCAGACACTGATATCCAGTGCCGAGGGCCTTCTGGCAGTTCTCTCATTGTGAGAAGTGAGGTTACAGGGAACCAGACAGAGGGCCTTCTCGGTAGTGGCACCCGCCCTGTGGAACGCCCTCCCTTCAGATGTGAAGGAAATAAGCAGCTATTAAAAGACATCTGAAGGCAGCCCTGTTTAGGGAAGTTTTTAATGTTTAATGCTGTGTTGTTTTTAACACTTGATTGGAAGCCGCCCAGAGTGGCTGGGGAAACTCAGCCAGATGGGCAGGGTATAAATAATAAATTATTATTATTATTATAACCCTGCACCACGACTCTTCTGTTCTTGCCACACCGACCTGTTCCCGGATGTTGTGGCAGAAAGCCATGTCTGCATCTAGCTTGCCGCTGTGGAAAAAGTCGGTCTGAGTAAGCTGCGATCTCAGGATGCTGCCTTTTATCAGGTAGACGCTAGAGATGTATGGGACGTTCCAGAGGCCACTGAAAAAGGGGGGCGGGGAGAGAAAATTAGGCATGAAGGGGCATTAACCACCCCAAGGCCTTTTACCATATACAGTTATTAAGGCTGCCATTATTATTATTATTAGTTTCATCAGCTACTGTATTTTTCCATGTATAAGACGATGCTTTTTGCTAAAATAAATAAATAAATAAAGAGGCAAAAATTGGGAGTTGCGGATAGTGAATGCAGAGGGGGGACGTGCGATTAATGGCAGCAGCAAGCTGGAGATTGGCAGCGACAATTGGGCGGGTGATTGGTGGCTGCGGCAAGGCCTGCTGACGATTGGCTGTGGCTATGGCAACTGGTGGCTGTGGCGAGGTGGGCAGGTGATTGGTGGCTGCAGGAAGTGGGCGGGTGGGCTGGTGGTGGCGGCAAGCGGGCAGACAATTGGCAGCTGCGGCAAGGTGTACAATTGGCAATCAGTAGTGGCAGGCAGGCGGGTGAGCAATTGGCAGAAGTGACCTCCCTCACCCCCCCCCCATAAAAGCTAAACAACTTAATTTCTTAATTTTGGGTTTTAAAAAATTGGGGTCATCTTATACATGGGGGAGTCTTATACACACAAAAAATACGGTATATTCTGATTTTTAAAATTGTTCCATCAATTAAAAAGCGGGTTAAAAAATCAGCCAAAGAGGCAGCATTGCTGCTTCCAGCTGTGGAGACAGAAAACAGCCATCCTGGCTGGTAGCCCTCAATAGTCCTCTTCTCCATGAATTTGTCTTCTTTTAAAGCTAGTGGTCATTATGTGAGCATGTTCCATAGTTTAATGATGTGCTGCATGAAAAAGCATTTTCTTTTATCCACCCTGAATCTTACAACATTCAGCTACCTTGGATGTCCACAAGTTCTCATGTTCTGAGAGAGGGAGGAAAACTTACTCCGTGCTATGCAAAATTTTAAACCCCTCTGTCATGTCACCTCTCCCTCGCCTTTTCTCTAAACTATAAAATCCAAAACGTTGCAATCTTTCTTCATAGGGAATCACTCAATCCATGATGTTGGCTTGTTTGAAACTAGTCACGGTTCAAGTTCATGCTAACCACGGTTTGCTTGGTCCAGATGACACAACAAACTGTGATTAAGCAAAACCAGAGGCAGAAGCTCCGGAGAGAAAAGGTTGTGAGCCTGTAGCTCGATCCTACTGATGGACTATTGTTATAAGAATTCTAAGGTCTCAAATATAGAATAAATGTTCATATTTGTACAAGGAAAACACATACATAAGTATGTAAACCATGTGTCTGAAATAGAACAGGAGAGCAATCCTGAAGCCATTTTGACTCTCTCAAATTGATCTCAAATATTTCTCTGCAAGGAGGAAGGAAATGGGAAACATTTTCCTATAGGCTTTGGACTGTAGGGACTTACACCTCCCTGCAATTACAGTCTGGCAAGTATCTGTTAAGCTGAGCAAACTCAATATGCATAAGAGATTCAGGAACTACGTTTTTATTTTATTTTTATTTGAGATTTACCATCTCAAAGGAATGGCCAGGCTACCCAGAAAATGCAGTCAAGTAAGGCATTCTCAGGTATTTTGGCAGACAGGAGAGAAGCAACACTCAAATTTCTGCTGTAGACCGCCTCCTTCTGTGATGTATGTATGATGTTTTGGGGGGTGGTCTTGGGCTACAGGGTGGGCAATTTCTAGTCTTTATAGGGGCTTGCACACCATTGCTCTGGGTCTCTCCTACCTCCTTGCAACGAGGGGAGGGAACTCTGTTGCAACAGAAAAATAAAGATCTGTCTTGCTTTCTGCGGATCTTGCCTCCATCCATTCATCTCTGACCGATCATGGAGTTAGGGGACTCAGTCCCTTGGGGAGTTGGGCAGCAAAAGCCAAACCCCCTGTTTTTTCTATAACACTTTGTGCTAAACTATGGTTTAGTGTGACATGGAGAAGCGGCCAAAGCTTTGTTGAAATCCTTCATGGTACTCACATCCGGCGTCCCTGGACGATATCCACATAGTCCTCTGAGCGGGCGTAGTAACCGTCGGCACTGAGGGCCCCCCAGAAATTTGACCACAGCTTCCCAAGACGACTCACAAGTGGGGCAATCACAAATCTGGGAGGTGGGGGTTAAGGAAGGCACAGAAAAGAATTGGATATTAGTGTGCATATGAACCCAAAACTTGGGTAAGTACCGTATTTTTCGCTCTATAGGACGCACTTTTTCCCCTCCAAAAATGAAGGGGGAAAGTATGTGCATCCTATGGAGTGAATGCAGGCTTTCACTGAGCTTTCACCGGGCTTCAGGAAGCAATCCGCAAGCCTGCGGAGCCGGCGGGAATTCCCGCCGAGCGCTGCAGGCTTGCGGATAGCTGCCCTAGGCCCGGGGTACGCAGCGGGCTACAGCGCCATGCTCCCCGGGCTTCGGATAGCAGCAGGCTCCGGGAGCGATGGCGAGGTTGAACGCAACCTCGCCTTCGCTCCCGGACCCGTTCTTGAGGCTGGGGTCGGGGGGAAGCCCGGGCTGGGGTCGGGGGGAAGCCCGGGCTTCCCCCCGACCCCAGCCCGGCAAGCTCCGGGAGCGATTGCGAGGTTGAGCGCAACCTGTCGCTCCTGGACCCCCAGCCCCGAGGCTAAAAATGAAGCCAAGACAGCTAGCGGGATCCATCCCGCTCACTGTCATGGCTTCTTTGCTCTTTGGGGCTGGGGGGGGGGAAATAATTTTTTTTCTTTATTCCCCCCCCCCAAAAAAAATAGGTGCTCGCTATGGTCCGGTGAGCCCTATAGAGCGAAAAATACGGTACTTCTGCTTGTACAGAGGTGGGAAGCAGTGGGATGAAAGGCAAGATATCCCCAGGTCTATTTGGACAAAGATTAACTTCAGAACCTGCATAAAATAAAGCCAAGTACATTCGCATAACTTCTCCAAGATTGTGGCATTTACTAAGCGAAAGGAGCTATGCAGGACAATGAACTTCCAACTCTGGAAAACCTTACTCAGAAACTCCTCTGGGTTTTGATAGCCAGTCAAGCAGTTTCAAGCACATTTCCTTTTCCATAGGGGCTAGAAACTTGCATCTTTTAAAGATTTGAATACGAAAGCAGAGTTGCTCGAGAAACTGGAGTCCGTATCTCTTTCCCCCACCCCCAAACTCACACAAAATGGTGGAGTAGAGGGGGAGGCACCTTGAATAATAGAACTGTATAGCTGAGACCTCAAGTCCAACTCTTGCAATGCAGGAATCACGTCTAAAATTAACAATCCAATCCAAACGGAGACAGGCTCTGTTGCATCAAGAGAGGTTTGTTTCAGTCTGGCAGCTGCATCCAGATGTGGAACGCGGAAGGACCACGCCTTCTCCCTGAACTTGCCTAAGGCACCCACAGAACAGGAAGCTGAGCTAAGCGACTCACTTGTTCTGTTCGATCAAGATCCGCAGGGCATCAGGGTTCTTCAGCACCACTTCGGCATCCATGCTGAAGTAATATTCACAGACTGGGTCTTGCCTGCACAGGTCCCTAAAGAGGCAATAAGGAGGCAGATCAGTCAGTCAGCCAGTCGGTCCGTGGCTGGCTCAAGAGGTTTTAAAGGGCAGATAATATCAAGAATCACTGCCTATACCTTGGCCATCTCTCAACAGCAAACAAAAGGTCAGAAGTGTTACAGCATCAGGAGAGATAAAAAGGTAAAGGGACCCCTGACCATTAGGTCCAGTTGTGGCCGACTCTGGGGTTGCAGCGCTCATCTCGCTTTACTGGCCGAGGGAGCCGGCGTACAACTTCTGGGTCATGTGGCCAGCAGGACTACGCCACTTCTGGCCAACCAGAGCAGTGCACAGAAATGCCATTTACCTTCCCGCTTGAGCGGTACCTATTTATCTACTTGCACTTTGGCGTGCTTTCGAACTGCTAGGTTGGCAGGAGCAGGGACCGAGCAATGGGAGCTCACCCCGTCACAGGGATTTGAACCAGATGTTAGTTTCTGTTTTGCCATTGAGCAGCTGCTGGGAGTCACAAGACTCTGTTTACATTCCAGAGACAGTCCAGGCTATTGGAAGTCTCACGGGAGATTAGAGACGGATGTGACGTTACTGGTTTCCTGTTTCCTTTGTTCCTTTGTTCGGTTGCTCTCTGCTTTCATAGAGAGAGGATGTATATTTCTTAGCTGCCTGCGTAGTAAGAAATAAAGCATAACAATGTAGCCCAAACCTCTCGTCTATTCCCTGTGCTGGGAACTCTGCTGGATGAAGAATGGGCCTGAGGCCTTATCAAAGGCTCAGGTTATTAAACACGTCGGGAGGCGATTCCGAAGACTTGGGGGAAGAAAATGAGCTTTATCAGTTTGGCCTGAGCGGAGCTTCCAACACCACCGACCTTCTGATCGGCAAGTCCTAGGCTCTGTGGTTTAACCCACAGTGCCACCCGCGTCCCTACCAGGAGAGATAGTGTGGTATAATTATTAAGAGTATTGGGCTAGGACCTGGGAGGCCCAGGTTCAAATCCCTACTCGGACATGAAGCTTACTGGGCGACCACTCTCAGCCTTGCCTACCTCACAGGGTTGTTGTGGGGACAGAAAGAGGGGGCCAGGAGAACAATGTGTGCCACCTTGAGCTTAATAATAATAATAATAATAATAATAATAATAAAATAATAATAATAGGCTTACATGCCCATGTTCCGGCCATCAGCATTCTCCACATGGTCATCTGGTCCAACCACTTTGACAGAGCGGTATTCTTGCCCGTGTTCGTTCACAAACGCCTCTACCTGGTCGAGGTGATGCTCCTCCTGGACACAAGAACACAAAGCAGAACGCCTTATACCAGAGCTGTGGCTGGTCTGGTCAAAACAGCCATGCTCACCCTCTGTGAGCTTAAAGGAGCAAAGGCTTCTGGAGGCGAACGGCCCTCCCTAAGGATGGGACGAAGGCGCTCACCCGATTGTGGATGAAAAGCTGGATCCGTTTCTTGGGGTAGCGCAGCTTCTGCAGGCGCTGGAAGAACGGGGTGAGGAATGGGGTGGGCTGCTCGACAAAGATGCCAATCAGGACCACAGGCAGCACATCCTCCTGCGTTCAGGTACGAGGGGCGAAAAGACAAGAATACATAAATAAGGCGAGAAAGACCAAGACAGCCAGCCGTGATGGGCAACCTATGTTTTCAGATAAGAATGTCAACATATGCTGGATCAGGTTGAAGGTCTGCTTCAACAATAGGGAGTCTCTTTCAGCCTGAGGGCCACACTCTCTTCTGGGCAATATTTTGGGGGCCAGATACCAGCGGTGGGCAGGGCCAGAGGCAAAAGTGGGCGGAGCGACGAGTGTGAATTTCACCTCTCTACAGTGGGTTAGTTTCTACACACAAACCGCTCTGTCCTCTGTCCAGACAAGCAAGATCAGGGTTCGAGGATGCATGTTCTCTGCGCTGGGCCATTACTGGGGTCCAAAGATTACACACACGTGAAGGTGATGGATGGCTTGTGAAGGACCCTAAGTAAGAGGCAGGCAAGGAAGGGAAGATCTCCCAGGGTGGGGGAAGAAAGGAAAGCTCCCAGGTGAGAGCTGGGAGGGTCCACCTCTTTCTGTGTGAGAACTCCCTTTGAGATTGGACCCTGCATTTTCTTTTCTCTTTTCGTTTTTGTTTAGAACCATGGAATCATAGAGCTATAGAGTTGGAACGGACTACTAGGGTTATCTCTTCCAACCCCCCACAATCCAGGCATTTTTTTTACCCAATGTGGGGCTCAAACCCACAGCCCTGAGATGAAGAGCCTCATGTGCTGCCAACTGAGCCATCCAGTTTGATCTAAATAGCAGCTGGACAGCAAAGCTAGTTTCCTTTCTCTTCTTGTATTATGAAAGAGCTTCAATAAAATCTTATGGGGAGAAAAGGAAGAAATGCACAGGGGTAAAGCAACCTTGCTGCATTTTAAGCCACTTAAAGTAGGAAATGGAAACGTGGGTGGCGCTGTGGGTTAAACCACAGAGCCTAAGGCTTGCTGATCAGAAGGTCGGCGGTTCGAATCCCCGCGGCGGGGTGAGCTCCCGTTGCTCGGTCCCTGCTCCTGCCAACCTAGCAGTTTGAAAGCACGTCAAAGTGCAAGTAGATACATAGGTACCGCTCCAGCGGGAAGGTAAACAGCGTTTCCGTGCGTTGCTCTGGTTCGCCAGAAGGGCTTAGTCATGCTGGCCACATGACCCGGAAGCTGTACGCCGGCTCCCTCGGCCAATAAAGCGAGATGAGCGCAGCAAGCCCAGAGTCGGCCACGACTGGACCTAATGGTCAGGGGTCCCTTTAAAGTAGGAAAGGATGCATTTCAAGCAAAGCAAAATAACTCAATGGGGGTGTGAAGGAGAGGAGGGGTGTGTGGCCTGGAAATATGGTGTGCAGCCAGATGTTTCTGATTGTAATACTGTGCTTTTAGTCTGTATACTACTTTGCAATACTGGTTATGAGAGTGTGGCTTGTAAGTATCAAAATAAATAAATTAAAAATAAGAGAGAGGTCCGGTGATCCACCTGAGGCCCCTGGAGGTGAGATTCCCCACCCAGGTTCCAGAATCCTATTTCTAACATTGGCCAACTAGGTACAGTGGTACCTCGGGTTAAGTACTTAATTCGTTCCGGAGGTCCGTTCTTAACCTGAAACTGTTCTTAACCTGAAGCACCACTTTAGCTAATGGGGCCTCCTGCTGCTGCCGCACCGCCAGAGCATGATTTCTGTTCTCATCCTGAAGCAAAGTTCTTAACCTGAGGTACTATTTCTGGGTTAGCGGAGTCTGTAACCTGAAGCATATGTAACCTGAAGTGTATGTAACCCAAGGTACCACTGTACTTCTAGGAAACTCACCAGCACAGCATGAAGGCAACAGACCAGGAACCAGGTGTCATGGGGACGCCACCAGGTCCTATCAGCCCAAGCCAGCAGGGCCACCGGTCAGGGACGATGGGAATTGTTGCCCAGCAAAATTGAGAGGACCACAGCTTTCCCATCCTTCCATCACAAGAAGGCAAGCGCCGCGAAGGGGATAGCTAGCGGGCAGTGACGGCAAGTGATGGCCTCATCCTAGGAAGGAGAACCTATAGCCTACAATTTCCTGCGGGGACTCCAGCTTGCACCAGCCCCAACCAGAATGGGCAATGGCTGGGAATGGGGATGGTGGGAGTTTTAGCAGAGGTAGCTAGGTGCAGCTATGGCAAGTGACGGTCTAGCTCAGCGAGTGGAGAATGTGTGTGACTCTCTGGTTGTTGTCCAACTCCCACCAGCCAGCACAGCTGATGAACAAGGCATAATGGGAGTTGGAGTCCGAATCAGGGCCCACAGATATCCCAGCCACCCCAACAAGCCGGCTGGTCCTTACTTTCAGGTCTGCGAGGCTCTTCAAGCTTTCGTTGCAAACTGTGCAGCCCGTCTCAAAGGTCCAGGTCCGAGGGATGTAGTTCCCCAGGTAGTTCAGCTGCAGCTTTTGAGGAGAGAGAAAGATTCCTGGATCCTTAGTGGCAAAGCTGGGACGGAAACACTCGCTTTGCCCTGTTAAGTCTGCAAGCGAGGACATCTTTCCTTCTAGTCTAAGAACATGAAACTGGATCGTTCCAAAGGCCCATCTTGTTCTCAAAGTGGCTGCCCAGGTGCTCAAAAATAGAAGTCTGCAAGCGGGGCCCGAGTTCAAGAAGCGCTCTCCCCTCCTTGGGACACTTTAGAGAAAAGGGGAGCGAGAGGCGAGATGGGAGAAGTTTACAGAATTATGCATGGCATGGAGAGAAAAAGTTTTTTCTCCCTCTCTAGTGGCAGGACAGACGAAAATAAGCCCTTCTTCCTGCAGTGCAGGGTTAAACTGTGAAACTCACTGCCACAGGAGGCAGTGATAGCCACACACCTGGATGGCTTGAAAAGAGGATCAGGCAAATTCACAGAGGAGGATAGGGCTATTGATGGCTCCGAGCCACGATGGCTCTGTTTCCACCGTCAGATGCTTCTGAATGCCAATTGCCAGAAAACACAGGAGATTGTGGTCAGATCCTGCTTCAGGGTTTCCCACAGGTCAGCCACTGTGAGACTAGATGGGCCACTGACCTGATCCAGCAGCCCGGCTCTGCTTAGGTCCCTATGGCTCTGGAACATTCTGACTGGCCTTACCTTGGTGGGACCGTTGCCATGAATGACAACTGCGAGGGTGTCATATGCGAGGTTCCGTGCTCTCACGCGCCCGTTCTCAAACTTCAGGACCACCTCATCTTAAAAAAAAAGAGGGAGAGAACAGAAGGAAACAATGAACTACCATGCTTTTCTGTGTACAGTGGTACCTCTGGTTACAGAGCAGCCCCACTGAAAATAATGGAACTAAGTAAGTCGTGCCCACTCATTTCAAAGCGTCCATTTATTACCATTTATATAGCGTCCTTCCTCCTGAAGGTGCCCGGGGCAGCAAACACTTTTTTTAATTGTAAAAAAAAACACATTTAAAAATAAAATAAAAACATATTTTAAAAGAGCTGAAAACAATTAGATACAACAAAACATTTAAAACAGAACATGCATCTGGAGAGGTTTCCCGAAACAGACAGGTTTTCAGCAGGGGTTGAGAAGATGGCATTTGCCTCATGTCAACAGGTAGGGAGTTTCAATGTTGAAAACCTGACTCCTCACAAACCCGGAACTGAGATTGTAGAAACACAAGACACTTCTCCATCTCCTTTCCCAGATGCTCACCTAGGGCTCCATTCAGATTTTGAAATATCCGACACCTGTGATCCAAAGTGATATTGATGTTCGTCTATGGGGGAGACAAATAAAATAGAAATCACATTATCATAAGAGCTGGAAAAGGGGTTTTGAAAAGCCATGAAGTCTGGCTCTTCTCTCTAAAGGTAGAGCAAAACGTCTGTTTACACCAGACAGGTACAAATTGTGGACCACCAAGTCATTTCAATACTGTCCGCTTGTGGGTGGTGGATTTTTAAATTTGCAAAGAACTCCAGCAAAGGAACAACTTTCAGCTCCCTCCTGTTCCTTAGAAGCCTTATCCACCCCACACCTGACATCCTTGTGGGCCGAATGACGAGCATCCTGGTGGCCAGGTTTGGCTCATGGGCCACAGGTTCCCAAACAAGTAGCTTTATTTCATTACGTATAGATAATTTAGGGGTTGTTTGAGCACCCAATGGCTTCTTTTATGTTTTATGTGTATTAGATTGATTGTAAATAAAATATTCATTTTTATTAAAAAGGGGGGAAAGTAACTACATTTAAAAAACTCGCATGGAACACATGCACGCAGCTTCTCTGCACCCTGAATTTACCCGTTTTTCTGGATCCAAGAAGACTTTCGTATAAAACAGCTGGTCACTATCACTGTCAAGACCCTCCCAATCTGATACAAGCTTGTAGAGGTGTGAAGCGTAGCCTATGAACCCTGTCAGGAAGAGAGAGAGAGAGACGGAGAGAGAATTAACTTTCCTTTTTTTGCCTTCAAGGTCAAGAAACACTCCAGGCCACATTAAATACCTAAATGAAAGTGTCAACAACTCTGGTTTCTAAAGAATAAGAAATACCATATTTTTCCGCTCCATAAGACACACCAGACCATAAGGCGCACCTAGTTTTTGGAGGAGTAAAACAAGAAAAAAAATATTCTGAATCCCAGAAGCCAGAACAGCAAGAGGGATCTGGCTTCTGGGATAGCCACGCGCAGCCTCTCCCGGGCAGCGGGATGAAGGCTCCCCCTGCCCGGAAGGGGCTAAGGCAGAAGCCAGAACAGCAAGAGGGATCTGGCTTCTGGGAAGGCAGAAGACAGGAGAGGTGCTTCGCTGAAGGGGCGCTGCGCAGAGAGGGAGAGCTGCACAGCGCCCCTTCAGTCAAGCTGGAGGAGAAACAGAAGAAGCCCCTTCTGTTCCTCCTCTAGCTTCGCAGGAGAGGCGCTGCAAAGAAGGGGCTCCGTTCCTCCTCCCGCTTTGCTGAAGGGGCGCTGCGCAGCTCTCCCTCTCTGCGCAGTGCCATTCACTCCATAAGACGCACTAACATTTCCCCTTACTTTTTAGGAGGAAAAAAGTGTGTCTTATGGAGCGAAAAATACGGTAAGTTCATGTTGATCTGCAAGAGAAGTGTGCATAAGAACATAAGAAGTGCCTTCAGCTGGATCAGGCCAATGGCCCGTCTAGGCCAGCCTCTGGTTCTCACAGTGGCCAGCTAGATGCCTCTGGGAAGCCCTCAAGGAGGACCTGAGCACAAGAGCCCTCTCCCCTGTGGCTTCTCATGGTGTTTGGAAGCATTGCTGCCTCTGATTGTGAAGGCAGAGCATAGCCATTGTGGTTAGTAGCCATCAATAGTTCTCTACTCATCCATGAATTTGTCCAATCCTCTTTTAAAGCCATCTAGGTTGCTAGACATTGGGACGCAGGTGGTGCTGTGGGTTAAACCACAGAGCCTAGGACTTGCCGATCAGAAGGTCGGCGGTTCGAATCCCCACGATGGGGTGAGCTCCCGTTGCTCGGTCCCTGCTCCTGCCAACCTAGCAGTTCGAAAGCACGTCAAAGTGCAAATAGATCAATAGGTACCACTCCGGCGGGAAGGTAAACGGCGTTTCCGTGCGCTGCTCTGGTTTGCCAGAAGCGGCTCAGTCATGCTGGCCACATGACCCGGAAGCTGTACGCCGGCTCCCTTGGCCAATAAAGCGAGATGAACACCGCAACCCCAGAGTCGGCCACAACTAGACTTAATGGTCAGGGGGCCCTTTACCTTTACTAGGTTGCTAGACATCACTGCCTCCTGTAGGAGCCAGTTCCATGCAGACCTCAGTGCTATGCAGAACTCTTCATCATTAAGCAAAAGTGTTTTGTTTTTTCAAGTCGGAAAAGGGACTACTACCTAAAGTAATTAAGAATCGTTGCTTTTTTTAAAAAAAGCCTACATCTTTCTCAGGGTAGAAGCACAGCCCGAAATTACCTTGCTTTTGGTTCTGCTTAGACAAGGTGTTCTGTGTTAACTGGAAATGTTCTATTTCTGTATTAGTTGCTTGAAGGAAATGTATATCCCTTCAGCCATTTTGCAGTTGTAGCTGCACAACCAAGGATCAAGTAATGATTATTTAGTTTAGGGAGAAGACGGTATCCTTTGCAGACTTTCATTGTGCACCCAGAAAGGCATAAGCTCCCAGATCTCATTATTATGAAGCACTAGAAGGAACATTCCTAAATTTTGGACACTGTAGATCTGTCCTGTTCTGGTGCATGCAATGTCTTTTGTTCTGTAGCTGTGTGATTTGTGCTTATGCTGTATTGTGATGCTTGTTGCCTATAAACAATAACATGTATTGAATGGAACTGAATTATTATGAAGGAAACTCTCAAAACCCATTGGCTCACATGGTGACTCACCAGTACCCAAACTATGGAACTGACTTCCGCAGGAGCCAATGAACTTGGATGGCTTGAAAAGAAGATTAGACAAATACAAAACCGATGTCTACTACACTGATGTCTACTAGCGCGTCCTCGCCGCGGGATCACATTCATCCAGTGCTTTACCAACTGCACTGGCTCCCGGTGGAGTACAGGGTCAGGTCTAAGATGCTGGTTTTGACCTTTAAAGCCCTATGCGGCCTAGGACCCACGTACCTAAGGGACCACGTACCTAAGGGACCGCCTCTCCTTAAGGTCCACAAATGACAACATTTTGGAGGTCCCAGGTCGCAAGTTGGTTAGATTGGTCTCAACTAGGGCCAGGGCCTTTTCAGTACTGGCCCCGACTTGGTGGAACGCTCTGTCACAAGAGACTAGGGCCCTGTGGGACTTGACATCTTTCCGCAGGGCCTGCAAGACAGAGCTGTTCCGCCTGGCCTTTGGTTTGGACTCAGTCTGAAACTTGAACCCAATTCCTGCTCTCTCACTCCTTTTTTCCCCCAAATTTTTTTATTGATTTTTCAACAAACAAACAAACATAAATCTTAACTGTACTTAATCCAATCTTAGTAACATTGTTAAGTGACTTCCTCTAATTCCCCTGGCTGAATTTCAGTGTATATCATTGTAACAGTTTTCCAAAACCAGTTTTCTCATAAAATTAACTTAATCACTTAACATCTTTCTTTCTTTTCATTTTAATTTTAAACATATTAGTCTCTAACATCACATATTTAAATCCTAAGCCAATCTGGTGTTTGCAAGTTTTTTCCAATTACATTATCTTAACATATTTAACTAAATAGTCTTTAAATTTCATCCGTTCCGCCTGCTCTCTCATTCCTGGTTACTCCTCCAATGCTCCACGCTGCAGCTCCAGTTCCTCTTACCTCCGGATCCGAGGAATCGCTTCCCTTCCTGGACCTGGGGGTACTTTCCTTCCAGCCTTCGGTCGGGGTAAATTAGGGTCTCCGATGAGAAGACGACTTTGGCCTTAGCTTGCCTGAATTTCTTCAGGAGTTCTGCCGGGCCTGAAGCAAATATGACGTCATAGCTGCAGGGGAGGAAACAGGGAGGAAAGGATGGTATCGGAAAAAGCAGGAAGAAGAATTCAAAGAGGTGCTTCTGCTGGGAAAGGTATAGAAGTTATTTTTCCTTACTGGCCTGTGACAAGGGAGGCTTAGTTATGAGGTGGGTCCCTCTGGATTTTGCTGAACTACAACTCCCACGAGCCTCTGCAAACACAGCCAGTGGCCAGGGATGATGGGAGTTGTAGCGTAGCAACATCTGGAGCATTAATAATAATAATAATAATAATAATAATAATAATAATAATTTTTTAATATTTATACCCCGCCCATCTGGCTGGGTTTCCCCAGCCACTCTGGGCGGCTTCCAACAAAACACTAAAATACAATAACCTATTAAACAGTAAAAGCTTTCCTAAACAAGGCTGCCTTCAGATGTCTGCTAAAAGTTTGGTAGTTATTTTTCTCTTTGACATCTGGTGGGAGGGCGTTCCACAGGGCGGGTGCCACGACCGAGAAGGCCCTCTGCCTGGTTCTCTGTAACTTGGCTTCTTGCAGCGAGGGAACCGCCAGAAGGCCCTCGGCGCTGGACCTCTGTGTCCGGGCTGAATGATAGGGGTGGAGATGCTCCTTCAGGTATACTGGACTGAGGCCGTTTAGGGCTTTAAAGGTCAGCACCAACACTTTGAATTGTGCTCGGAAACGTGAAAGTTTCTCCTACACCTGCGTTCGGGAGAATGGGATGCTGCCCCCACCAACCTGTCTGCCCTCAGCCAGCCTCCACCTGCCTGCCTTTCTTACCACCCGATCTGCACAGAACACACTGCTTATGGTCTCCTTACCTCTCTGTGAAGAGGATGATCAAATCCTCCTTCTCCGCATATTCTTCCAAAGTTGACTTTAAGAGACGGATCTTCTGTCCACCTCCTGTCGTCCTTTTATTCTCTCCTCCGTGCCACTCCTCTCCTAATCCTAGGACCTAGAGGGTGAAAGCAGATTTGCAATGAAGCCTTTCTTTGCCCAGGTTCTCTGCTTCAAAGGGTTAGCACCTGTGCATTTTTAATAATAATAATAACAATAATAATTAATAATAATAATAATAATAATAATAATAATAATAATTTATTATTTATACCCTGCCCATCTGGCTGAGTTTCCCCAGCCACTCTGGGCAGCTCCCAATCAAGTGTTAAAAATAGTACTGCATTAAATATTAAAAACTTCCCTGAACAGGGCTGCCTTCAGATGTCTTTTAAAGATAGGATAGCTGCGTTTCACAGGGCGGGTGCCACTACTGAGAAGGCCCTCTGTCTGGTTCCCTGTAACCTCACTTCTCGCAATGAGGGAACCGCCAGAAGATCCTCGGCGCTGGACCTCAGTGTCCGGGCCGAACAATGGGGGAAGAGACGCTCCTTTAGGTATACAGGACCGAGGCCGTTTAGGGCTTTAAAGGTCAGCACCAACCCTTTGAACTGTGCTCGGAAACGTACTGGGAGTCCAAAGGTAGCAATTTCATTCCCTTACTGCTGGGCAGGAAGACAGCTGCCAAGTTTTCTATGGATCTTTAAACCAAAACATTTGGAACTGTGTCTTTAAATCACAGGTCATGTACGGAACATTAACACGGTATGTTGACAAGGCATATTGTGTAATGTGAAATGAGTTGGGCTTTGAATGTGAGATGAAAGCTGCATGGAGGTCTTTCCTATGTCTTAAAGGAAATGCCACAACCTAGTAGTAGTAGTAGTAGCTTTGCTTCGCAAGCAAAAGGTTCCAGGTTGAACCCAGAGCATCTCTAGGTTGGGCTAGGAATAAGGTTACCAGATTTTATTCAATGAATCCGGCGACACTTTTCAACTTTAATGGATTTTGTATGGGGACTGATTTGTAAATCCGGGGACTGTCCCCAGGAAACGGGGGCATCTGGTAACCTTAGATAGGAATGCCCCCTGCTGAAACCCCAGAGAGCTGCTGCCAGTCTGTGTAGGCAACATGGAGCTAGATGACTAAGGTAAATTGATTGGAAATTAGTATTGGAAAACTGCTACAATGAGATATATGGAAATACAGCTAGAGGGATTCAAGGAAGTCATCTGACAATGGTAACAAAAATTAGAACAGTTAGGATAAATGTTTGTATGTTTGTTTGTTTGTTTTTCATAGAGTAATGTTTTTTTCTTTTTTGTTGTTTATGTTTGTAAGAAATTTGGAATTTGGAAAACCAATAAAAAACCCCCAAAACATGGAGCTAGATGGACCAATGGGTCTGACTTCCTGTCCCGCTTCTTGTGTCCTTCTTGTGTCCTTATACTCAGAATCTCCTGGCATCACCTTGACATTGTAGTTGAAGAACTGGGCTGATCTTCTGAACCGTTTGAATCCTTCCGTCTCCTTGGTGGCCACAGTAAGAACCAATAAATTATCTAGATGGAGAAGGAAGAAGGAAAATTTAGGTAGTCGTCTCCCAATCAAGAAGGTCCTACTTTTACTCAATCAAAGGTAAGAATATTAAGAAGAGCCCTAAACTACAGAGCCTAGGACTTGCCGATCGGAAGGTCAGCGGTTCGAATCCCTGCGACGGGGTGAGCTCCCGTTGCTCGGTCCCTGCTCCTGCCAACCTAGCAGTTCGAAAGCACGTCAAAGTGCAAGTAGATAAATAGGTACCGCTTGGGCGGGAAGGTAAACAGCGTTTCCATGCGCTGCTCTGGTTCACCAGAAGCGGCTTAGTCATGCTGGCCACATGACCCGGAAGCTGTACGCCGGCTCCCTCGGTCAATAAAGCGAGATGAGCGCCACAACCCCAGAGTTGGCCATGACTGGACCTAATGGTCAGGGGTCCCTTTACCTTTTACCTTACCAGCAAAGTAAAGAATTCAGTAGACTATTAAGAGCTGAGACAGAATCTCTAGTGGCAGTCAATTACACTAAAGGCTTGGTTCCTTGTTGGTGTCAAATGAGCCTCACCAAGTCAGGGAATGACCAGTGACAGTCTCAGTGATCATGTCAGGATATAAGGGTTCAGGCAGTCCCTGAAACTGAGAGCCAGTGCAATTCTTGGCTCCCTTCCACTGAAAAGCTCCCTTACTACTGTTTGGGCAGTTGAAAAGAAGAGTTGGTTGTGGATTTTTTTTTGGGGGGGAGGGACCTTTCAGAAACAAAGCCTGCTGTACCAAAGCCTTTCAAAGAAGGCTAGAGAAAAGGAACCAAACCAAACAGGAAGCGCTCAAAGCATCAAGGAGCGGAAAGCTTATCTGCACATCTGAGACGGCCTGCTTGTCAACTTGGATTAAAGGGGAGGGGAATGAAAGTTTACCTTTGATTTCACATGGGCAAATCTCCCGTTCAAGGGCTCCTTTTCTGACCATTATGCAAGCGTAACAGACCAGTGCCTTTGGCCCTGCATCTGAGCAGGCTACTGTTGTGTTTTGACTCCTGCGGCCTGCTCTTACAGCCCCTGGCAGTCACGTTCTGCCTTCCAGATGTCATCCAGACTAAATATAATGCAACTCTCCTCTCCCCATATCCCCTTTCATGCCTACTTAGAAGGGAAGGTGGGAGGAGGGGAAAGTATCAAAAATTCTGCAATCTCCATTTGGTTCCATGTTTTATTAAGCAGAGAAGAAAGCTATTGATGGAGAGGATTCTCAGTGGCTATAGCTCTGCTTCCACAGTTGCTGGAAACTTCAGGGGGGCAGAATGCTCTTGTGCTCAAATCCTGCTTGGGGGTTTCCAACAGACACCTTACAGAAGCAAATATTTGCAGGTGGCAGATGGACACTGGAGGATGGCCCATGAGGGCAAATGGGGCACTGCCACACCACCCTCAATCTTACTCCACCCTCCTGCCAGCCCAGAAGGTAGCCCTGCCTGCCAGCGTCTTTCTCCTTTGTCTCAGTGTTGCTCTGGCGCCCCCTACTGTTGGGCTCCCCACCTTCTGCCCCATCAGTTTCAATGGGCGCCAACCACCAGTGTGGGTGGGTACAAAAAGAGACCCTCCGAAACGAGAGTCTTGCACAAAATCAGTTGCCCAGCAAAACGATGCAAAGGCAAAGCTGAGAGGCAGCTGGGGGGGAAAGGATCCAGGAAACTCTACAGCTGTAAAGACCCTAGAAAGTTTTTTAAGCCCCGCTGTCGGATTTCTTCCACGTTCCCAAATGCCCTGATGATCCGGTTACTAGGCCTTTCCAGCATTCCATGCAGAAACATGCTCTAGTCAGGAACGCTATTGTTCCCAAGTGTCCAGTGAATGCTTCCTGCAGGTCCAGGAAATGCATCCAGATGTAGCAGCAAACAACATCTGGTGTGTCAATCAGGAGGATCAGTGACACTGGATATGTAAGGAACAGGCTCCTGCATTGTGCTTTGGGAGATGAGCATGCATATCTAACATTCTAAAATCTGCTGACGTTGCCTGAATGCATTCTCCAACACGTTTGCCATGCAGAATTTGATCTCCTGGGGAAGACAGAGAAGGCAGTAAATATATTATGATTTTTTTTATTGGAAAGGGCGGTAGCTCAGCGGCAGAGCACCTGCTTTGCATGCAGAAGGTCCCGGGTTCAATCCCCTGCATCTCCAGGCAGGGCTGAGAAGGACTCCTGTCTGCAACAACCCTAAGAACAGCCTGCTGGATCAGGCCAATGGCCCATCTATTCCTGGTATGTCCCACGGAGGACCTTACGGTCTTCAAATAAAAGCATCTTGGAGATCCCAGGCCACAGGGAGGTTAGGCTGGCCTCAACCAGAGCCAGGGCTTTTTCAGCCGTGGCCCCGATCTGGTGGAATGCTCTGTCACAAGAGACTAGGGCCCTGCGGGACTTGACATCTTTCCGCAGGGCCTGCAAGACAGAGCTGTTCCTCCTGGCCTTTGGTGGAAGGCCAGTCTGACCCCCTCCTTCGGTACTCCTCACAGAACTCTAGCTCAATGGTTGCCATTAATTTGATTTTGAATTAATTTTAGAATGAATTGATTTTAGAATGCATTTCAATTACCGTATTTTTTGCTCTATAAGACTCACTTTTCCCCTCCTAAAAAGTAAGGGGAAATGTGTGTGCGTCTTATGGAGCGAATGCAGGCTGCGCAGCTATCCCAGAAGCCAGAACAGCAAGAGGGATTGCTGCTTTCACCGCGCAGCGATCCCTCTTGCTGTTCTGGCTTCTGAGATTCAGAATGTTTTTTTTCTTGTTTTCCTCCTCCAAAAACTAGGTGCGTCTTATGGTCTGGTGCATCTTATGGAGCTAAAAATATGGTAATTGATTGTGATTTTATGTAAACTGTGTTACTTTTATTGTTGTTGGCTGCTCTGAGCCTGGCTTTGGCTGGGGAGGGCGGGATATAAATAAATTTTGTTATTATTATTATTATTCCAGCATCTTGTTATCACAGTGGCTGATCGGATGTCTGTTGGAAACCTGCAATCAGGATCTGAGCACAAGAGCACCTCCCCACCTGCAGTTTCCAGCAACTGGTATTCAGAATCTCTTAAATAAAAACTCCCCGGAAGGCTGCAACCAATCAGTGTAGAGTCGGGTCAGGTGTTCTTGGACTACGACTCCCATCATCCTTGACGACTGGTCCTGCTAGCCAGGTATATTGGGAGCTGTAGTCCAGCAACAGCTGGAGCTCCAGCTTTGAGAAACACTTGTGTGGAGAATACTGAGCTAGACATACCAATAGCCTGACTCAGTATGAGAGAGCTTCCTATGCCTTAAAGAGTGCCAACTGCAGCTCAGTGGCAGAGCCCCTGCCTTGCCTGCAAAACGTCCTAGGTTCAGTCGTCAGCACCTCCAGGTGCAGATGAGAATATCCATTGCCTGAAACACTGGCAGTTAGTTCAGACTAGTGTTTCCTAAACTTGGGTCTCCAGCTGTTGTTGGACTACAACTCCCATCGTCCCTAGCTAGCAGGACCAGTGGTCAGGGATGTTGGAAATTGTAGTCCAAAAACAGCTGGAGACCCAAATTTGGGAAACATACTGAGCTAGATGGGCCCCTCAGTCTGACTTGATATAAGGCAGTTTGCTGTGTTATAGCAACTTTGCTTGAAAAAGTCGAGCCAAAATGTATTTTCAGGCCAATCCATTTTACTCTCCGTTCAACGCAACACTGAGCCTCAAGGCAAAAGGCAGCCCGCAATAATCAGCGACCTCCCTGACAGACCGGACAGAAGCGGCTATCATATTTCGGAGAAAAAAGGTCTCACTGTGCAGACTGCCATGGAATTAGGAAAAGCACATTCCTGAATTCCTCTTTCTTCTGCACTGTAGGAGACTGACACCTGATGCCTGCCTGACATTTGCACTCTCTGGAGGGAGGTCAGTTTGAAAGAAAAGGGGGGGAAAGCCCTTCCATTTGCCAAAGTTGGGCGTTGCCACGCTGCTCTCCCCCAACTGTCCCTCCCATGAAACCTTTCCAAGGCATACGTGCGGAGCGTGATTTCAGATGGGGCAGGGATGGGTCTCCCAGCCTTACCGTTAGGCAAAATTTTTTTTGTCCAGTTGTTCACCATTATCTAACTCTCAGCCTTAGGTGTCAAAATAATTTGGCTTTGGGTAAGATGCAACCCAACAGGGGATCAGAGGCATTTCCTGGGCTTTGCCCTGCCCTCTGGCTGAGTGCGTCTCCTCTCCTGCCTCCCCGAATCAGACATGTATGAACAGATCATTGCCCCAGGTGACCAGCCAGGAAGAAAATCTTCCCTTCAGCATGACTGAATTGCAATTTAACCACCTTTTTGCTTTCTGCTGCGTGGCTGCGACAGAGCTGGAAACATTTCGCCAGCCGAAAATCTAAAATATTTTTACAACCATAATTCCTGGCAGCTCCTCATTCCTCCTGAAGCCGTGTCCACGTAGGGTTGGCTGGTGGGGTTCCCTCCCCTTTGCATTTAAGAATCAAAACGGTGGATTTTTAATTTTTTTTGGTCCCGTTCTTCAGATGACAGCTTCATAAGCTGTGTTAGCTAACATGGAACATTGAGCAAGTCCTCATGCAGTGTTTTCTACTAGGACAAAATAAATCTCAAACTCATACCCCAAGCACTTTGTCCTGTACCCCACACTCACGCCCAAGTCCAGTTTGTACTTTCAGGGACCAGCAACACACATTAAAAATCAGCGTGGGGACGTATCTTGCAAGGGTTTCTGTGTGTGAGAGAGAGATGCATCTTTCTAACTCCCTTGTATGATCTTGGTTAAACATAAGAGGAGTCTTGAAGATGGATCAGGCCAAAGGCATATCTAGTCTGGCTTCCTGACACCCCCCCAGAAGGAAACTCCCAACAGGACCTAAGCACAAAAGCACTCCCCACACTTGTAATTCCCAGCAACTTGTATTCAGAGGCGTACCCCAAATCGGACTGCAAAAACCCAAGGTCTAAATGGGGAAAATGCTTTATGTGATCTTCACCAAATGCTTGCCCGACCCGACCCTAAACAAGTTATCTTGGAAGTAGGATCACCACAGATTTCAGCCAGAATTTACACCCCACCTCCCCTCAAAAGCATACGACGGCTCTCTATTCCACATTAACCAGCATGGAGTAAAAAGGCCTGAACTTTTGTGCATAATCGTAAATTCAGCATCCTGCACTCTCAGGGGCCAAATATTGGTGGGCAATCCAGTGCCCCTCAGGCCCTCAGTGCCCAACCGGTAGATCCAATCGCAGGCACAGCCAACTAAATCTAGGTTTGTCTCCATGCTGAGTCCTGCAAGGGCAAACCTCAGACTACGAGGAGGAGAAGGACACTGGCAGGCAGCTCCGTCCCTGGGCTGGATTTAAGTAAGAAGACAAGCAGAGGCGACACGGGCTTGGGGCGCAGGCGGGTTAGCATCCCCATTCGCCTTCACGGTCCAGCCTCCACTGGGAGTTTCTGCCTGGGCCCGAGGGGAGAAAAGGGGTGCCAAGCAAGCTCCCCCAGGATGTGGGGCGCTGCCTGGGTTTTCCAGCTCGGAGACTTACCGTCCTGTCGCTTGGCTCCTCCGTGGGCGCCCTGGGCGGCGAAGAAGAGCAGGATCAGCAGCATCTGGGACCGGAGGGGCATCGTGGGAACGGTGCTGCTTCGGGGGCGAAAGCGACTCTCACTTTTCGCGGGGGAGAAGGAAAGGCATCTGGGATGCAACTGCACAAGTCCCTCCCAGCCGTCCCGGGGCTGCTGTGCCACGCAATAAACAACGCCCCTCCGGAGGGGAGCTCCTCCTCTCTTTCTCCAGCGCAGCCCCACCGTATCCCGCCCACCCCACTTTCGTTTCTGCCCCCCTGGAGCCATCCAGGAGCACCGAGATCCTGGGCAGGGATGCAGCTCAGGGGCAGAGCTCCTGCTTTGCACGCAGAAGCTCCCGCTCCAGCAGCATCTCCAGGAAGAGCTGCGGAAAGCCGCCGCCGCCGCTGCCAGTCAGTGTCGACAATACTGAGCTCGGTGGAGCAAGAAAATGGCAGAGCTCCCGGCCCGCATGTAGAAAAGCCCCAGATTCAGTCCTCAGCATCTTCCAGGCAGGACTGGGACTGTCCCCTGGCTGAAAGCCAGGAAAGCAGCTGCCTGTCATTGTCGACAATGCAGAGCTAGGGTCTGACTCTGTATAAGGCAGCTTCGTGTGTTGCATGAGATTCTTCATCTCAAGGCATCCCACTTTGGGCAAAAGATTCCTGCATTGCACGGGGTCGGACTAGATGACCCTGGGGATGGGATCCCGTCCAACTCTACAATTCCATGATTCTGCGCTTTGCACGTAGAAGGTCCCAGGTTCAATCCCCAGCAGCATCTTCAGGATGGGCTGGGAAAAGACTCCCTGTCTGAAAAATGCTCCTGCTGTGGAAACGGGCACTCTGCAGATGCCCAGAGGCACTTTGACCATGGTCTTCCTTTAAAATAAAAATTAAAAAATTCTGCGGGCGGCGGCGGCGGCAGCAGGAGGAGCAGCGCCAGCCGCGGGATCCGCCTGACGGCCGGGGCTTGCCCTTCCCGCTGGGCCGTCACTCAGCCGCCACCGCCCCGCCTCGCCGTTCACGAGAGAGCCCGTCCGGCTGAGGCGAAGCCAGCGCCTCGCTCCGCGGCCGGGAAGAAGCTGCCCAATCCCCGCTCCGCCCTTGCTTCCTTCGTTCCGAGAGAGCCGCCGCCGCCGCCGAGCAGGCAGGCGGGCGAGCCGAGGCCGCGCGCTGCTGGTGGGGCGAGCGCGACTAGGCCTCGGAGCCGGGGCCTCGCGTAGCCGCGCCGCCCGGGGGCCATGAGGTAGCGGCCGGGCTGGCGGCGAGCGGCGTTCCGCTGTCTCCTTGCACCTGACTGCTCTGCCCCCTCGCCGTCCTCCATGTGGATGCAGCAGCGGCTGAAGGGGCTGCCGGGCCTGCTGTCGAGCAGCTGGGCGAGGCGCCTGCTGGCCCTGCTGGGCTTCCTGCTGGTGGCCTACTGGTACCTCGGAGGGGCCTGGCCTCGACTCCTGCCCTGGAGTTCCCGGCAGCCGCCCGGGGGCGCGGCGGGGCTCTGCCTGCAGGCCGAGACGCGGGCCTGGCAGGCCTGGGCGCAGCAAGGGGAAGCCAGGCTGCTGCCCCAGGCCCCCGGGCACCCGGCGGGCAGCGACGATGCCAGCTCCCCACCCGCCCTGGTGGGCAACGGCTACCTGCTGCTGGACGCCACAGCCAACCGGCTCTGGGTGGCAGCCTCGGCGGGGAAAGGCCCAGCGCCCACCTTGGCCCATGCCACCGAATACGCCGCCTTGGCGCAGCTCCGGCCACCGGCTAATGCTGTCGCTGAAGTGGGGGCTGCCGTGGCCATGCTGAAGGAAGGCGCTGTCCGTTGGGCTCGGTGTGTCCAGACCGGGCCAGCTGCCTCCGAGGCGGCCGGCGGGGGCTGCGTCACCATCCGGGAGGAGCTGCTAGCCCACCGCGGGCGCCCCCACCTCTACCTGCAGCGAGTAGCCATTGCCAACCCCACTGACCGCTTGGTGGCCTTCGAGGTGTCCGGACCGGGCGCGGCCGCCTCCGGGGGAAACGGCGGCGGGAAGTTCATCACCAGCATGGAGAAGTCGGGAGACCGGCAGTTCTTCCTCTCCTCTGGGCGGGTGCTGCAGCCCGTGGGCGACAAGGTGGTCCTGGTGGTGGTGGCGGCCAAGAAGCTGGTCAACCGGGTGCAGGTGGCACCCAAGTCCCAGTTCGACGAGACCCTGCTGTCCGTGGTGCACACCTCGGAGCCCGTCGAGGCCGCCCGTGTGGACGAAGCCTTCGGCCGGCTCCGGGAAGCGGCCAAGAAGGAGATGCTGGAAGTCATGAGGATGAGGACAGAGGACTTGGTGCAGGAACACAGGCAGGCGTGGGCCGACCTGTTTATCTCAGGTGAGAGCTGGGCTGGCGCGGCCCCGGCTTGGAACGAAACGGCAACATCAAGCTCTATGGTTTCCCCTCGGTCCAGAACCAGGGCCAGATCCAGGTTCGAGGCGGGGGCTTTTTGCAAAGTGCCCCCTATTCCTGTCTCGGTCTGTCCTGGCAGCAGTGGGAGATGGCCATAGCGGCTGCGCTGTGAATTTCCACTATTTTAATTGCACCCACCAAAAAGTAATTCTACATCAGAGGCATTGTGGGGCATTTAAAGGCTGGTGCCCACCTGGTGCTAATAAGAGCTGATGGAAGCATATTTGGACTGAGTCCCCACCAGCACGCTGGAGCCCACCTGCCGGCACCGGTGCATAATTGAGATTGGATCAATGATGTTTGTCACTTGCACCTTCCACTCTTTGAGGGTGTTGTAGGGAGGGTGAGATTTGGGAGATGTGCATAAACCATGAGCGATTGGCCTGGGTCTGTGAAAGAATAGGAGTTACGCCTGGTAGGCATTACATCAGAGGGGTGCCTTTTTCTTGATGTACAGCAGGGCAGAGGAAGGTGCAGGCCTTCACACATGGTTGGACTCGTACTCAGCCCCGCTCAGCATGGCCGGGGGGCGGGACTGATGGGAGTTGTCACCTAGCAACACCCATAGGTTCAGCATCCCTGGTGCACAGAAATCAAGGAGGATTATGTCCAGTAATATAAGAAGTGGTCTTAGATAGAAGTTAGTATATTGGACCATCTACCTCAGTATTGTCCACACTGGCTGGTAGTGGCGCTCCAGGGGTCTTTTCCCAGCCCTATGTGGAGATGCCAGGGGTCAAACCTAGGACTGTCTGTGTGCAAATTGGATGCTCTACCACTACCTTTCCAGGAGGAAGTAGTTCTCTTTCTGGTGGGCAGAGGCATTCTGGGGCAGGTTGCAGTTAGCTTTTCTTCAGTTATGATCCTGCAAACGAAAGATTTGAGAATGGGCACACAGTTTTCCCTTTTAAAGAAGAACATGTGATTGCATCAAACTGCTCACACTTCACTGTTGCTAGTGCTAATATATTGTCCTTTTCGTAGACTTTAACAGTAGGCTGTCTTGAGAGAGCTAAGAAGTATAAATAAACAAGGTTAAGGGCTTGTTAAGCAGAAGCAAGCAACTCATGTGATATTGATGTTGGGGCGGTTTATATCCCATATTGCTCATCAGCTAGGCAGTCTTGTTTCCTGCATGTGTGCTGGCTTCTTCAAGGATGCTTCTTAAGCACATGCAGAGTTCATCTCCTTCCTTACTGATTAACTGTGGCCCACTTCCACGCTCTGGGAAATAAGGAACAGAGCTTCTGGGGCATGTGATGTAACATATTGGTTTGGTTGTTAGAGCCCTGTGACCTTGCATTTTGCCCTGCTGTATAATCCAGAATTCTATGTGGATGGGCCTGATAAAATGCCCTTTCAGAGAAGTGGGAGGGGCTGTCACTTAGCGGCAGAACACACACTTTGTTTGCAGAATGCTGCACCTTTGATTCCTGTCCTAAACTCCAGCGAGCGCCTGCCAGTCAGTGTCAACAGTATTGTACTAGATGGGCTAACTTGGTATAAGGCAACTTATTGTGTTCAAAGGAACATAGGAAGCTGTCTTCTGCTGAGTCAAGCTATTGGTCCATCTAGCTTAGTGCTGCCTACTCCAGCTGGCAGTGGCTCTCCAGGATTTCAGGGAGGGAGCCCTACCTGGTGATGATGATGATAATAATAATAATAATAATAATAATAATTTATTTATATCCCGCCCTCCCCAGCTGAAGCCCGGCTCAGAGCGGCTGGTGAGGCCTTCTGTATGCAGAACAGATGCTCTACCACTGGGCTGCTTCCCTTCCCTGAGAATTCCTCTTCCCTTTCCCTCCCTGACTAATGAGAGTGACTAATTTTGAGACGACCTTTTCCTCACATGCTTCATGAAGCATTCCAGTGGATTAAACAGTATGTCAATCAAATCATCAACTTACCCTTTGGTTCAGCACTTAACACAATATGAATGCTTTAAACTTTATGCCTGCTTCTAAGGTGTACATTTAGTTGCCTTGAGATACTTCATATCTGGCGACCAGGGAAGCAAATAAATAATAAGGGAAATCAACTCGGCATGTAAACTCTGGAATTGGCTTCTCCCAAAAGTTGCAGAGATGGATGCCAATTTGGAAAGGGGGACAGACAAATGCTTGGAGGCTACTAACCACCATGGTTAGGTTCTTCGCTGTCGGAGGCAGTGTGCCTCTGAATGCCAGTGTCTGGGAATCACAAGTGAGCGGTGTTGTTGCACTCAGGTCCTGCTTACAGACTTCCCAGAGGTCTGACAACAGGTGACAACAGGATGCAGGACTAGATGGACCTTTGGCCGGATCCAGCTGCAGAGCTCTTCTTATGTTATCATGTTCCTTTGTTGATCCTCAGGTCTGATTATGAAAACACTGCAGCCTTATAAAAACTAGTCACGCACTCAGCCGCATAGTTTTCCTGGGAGTGTTGCAAAGTGGATTAAAATAGGAGGCATGTGACTATACAGAGGTGCAGTTTCTTGGAGGAGTTTCTCCTCTTAACTCTTCCGTTACATTTCACTCGCTACCGCTAACCTTGTGACTAAGATCCTTTCATTTGTGTGCAAGTGCAGACTTCCAGTTCCTTCACACTTCTAAATTTGCAGCTGCCTGAGTAGAGAAACAGGATTTCAAAAGGGGGGAGGGAAGCCCAAGCTATAATTCATGTCCATCTCTGAGGTTTGATGTGTGGGCCATTCCAAGTGGCTTGTCCACAGCCAAGCCTGCCTCGTACGGTGGTTGTAAGGATCAAATGGTGGGCAGCCCATGAAAGAACAGGATGCTGGACTAGGTGGCTCATTGGCCTGATCCTGCAGGCTCTTCTTAGGTTCTTACATATAAGATCTGAGTTATGGAGGAAAGATCTCTGTAATAATTCTCTGTCCGTTTCAGGGGTCGAGATGAGGAAGATCACTGATGCTCACACCCCCTCGAGTGACACCGTCAACATGACCCTGTATTACGTCCTCTCCACCACGCCCTCTCCCCTCCTTGACCCTCTCATTGGCAGCGAGGAGAGAGAGAAGATGGAGGCCACCCTGAACTACGCTGACCACTGCTTCAGCGGCCACGCCACAATGCATGCCGAGAATCTCTGGCCAGGCCGGCTCTCAACTGTCCCCCAGATCCTCCAGCTCTCAAACTTGTGGAAGCTGACTCTCCAGAAGCGCGGCTGCAGAGGCCTGGTCGCAACGGGGGCCCACGGCCTCATGCAAGGGATGGTGCTCAGCTTCGGCGGGCTCCAGTTCACGGAGAACCACCTCCAGTTCCAGGCCGACCCCGACGTGCTCCACAACAGCTACTCCCTGCGAGGCATCCACTACAACAAGGACCTGATCAACCTGGCCGTCCTGCTGGACTCGGACGGGAAGCCCTTCCTGCATGTCTCGGTCAAGTTCCAGGACAAGCCAGTCAAGCTGTACGCCTGCGAGGGAGGCTGTGCCAATGACCCCATCGAGCTCACATCGGAGCCACGAGGACACACCTTCCCCATCATGGTGACGCAGCCCATCACCCCGCTGCTCTACATCTCCACAGACCTGGTCCACCTGCAGGACCTGAGGCACACGCTGCACCTGAAAGCCATCCTGGACCACGAAGAGCACATGGCTAAGCAGTACCCTGGCCTGCCCTTCCTCTTCTGGTTCAGCGTGGCTTCCCTCATCACCCTGTTCCACTTGTTCCTCTTCAAACTCATCTACAACGAGTACTGCGGGCCAGGAGCCAAGCCGCTCTTTCGGAGCAAGGTATAAACCCTCACCAGCCGGGCCTGCTTCAGATGCCTGATGTTCAGCAGACCGACTCAGCCTCTTGGGTTGCCTTTTGTGTGTGTGTAATCCAACCCTCCCAGAGCCAGGGAGCCAGGAGTTTTGAACGACCTGCAGGTGAGCAGCATCCCTGCGTGGAAGGCAACCAGACTTTGCCTGGGAGCCTATAAAGAGGAGTCTGAACGCTTTTATTTTCAATTTTCCAAATTGCAGTGTTGGGTCCTTTACAAGAAAGTATCCGGGGTGGGTGCACGCCAGCAGTTTCTGCTTCATTGGGGTCCCTTGCGGACGGCCTTCACATTAAAACAATCTCCCAGTGGCTGTCCCGAAGGTAGCTCACCAGTTGTAACGCTCTGATCTTGCTGTGTTGCCACCCCAGGACCGTCAATAGAAAGGGGATTTGACCAACTGCTAAGCTAGTATTAAGTGTGTTTGCTGTATAGACATGCACACAATTTCCCTTGAAGGAGAGCAGGTGGTGTTAACTGCTCCCTGTAAATCGATCATCTGTGTTGCAGGTGGCCCTGCTGCTATTCCTAGAGGTAGGAAAGTGTGTGGCGGCTTATTAGATGAGAAGTGCCACGCTCACGGTGCAGTGGAGGTACAGAGGAACCAGTGGAGTAAAACGCCTTTGATTCTAACTCCTATGGGGAAAGAAGGCTTTCCTTGACAGGTTAAATGTTCAGCGTTTGCCAGGAATCGAATAGCCCAAGAGGTAGTGATGGGGAGGCTTCAGGTAGCAGCCTGCTTTTTCCTCCCTCTGGAGCTGAAATGGCATGTGGGGTTTGAGCTTTGCCACATCCCGCAAGACCTGATGAGGCACTTCGCTTTGGTGCTCTGGATGGCACTTGGGGGGGGGGTGTCATCATTAACAGCACCAAAGGCCGGATTTTAGTGTTAAAAACATAGGGGAGAAAAGTGGCAGGTGAGCAGCTCTTTCCATTCAAAAAACAAAAATTACAATCCCCGCCCCACCCAAATAAAGCATGCAACCAAGGGAGAGAAGTGGCTGGAAGTCTTTTGCTTATAGTGTGTGTACTACTGGAATCCCGGAAATCCGCAGTGTGCTCTCTTCATCCACTGTTGTGTGTTCAGGGGGTGTGTCCTTTTTACTCCTGGAAGATCTGAGGCCCCTGTTGCCTCTTTTGCCCCCCCTCCCCGCAATGCAGGCCTGTTAACCATAAAGCAGTTGGTGCAACCAGCATTGTCGTCACCTGGAAAAAGTTGCTGATGAAGAAGACTCTATTCAGGGTGGGGGTTTGCCTAGGTGCCACTCAAAGCACTAGCCCCCCTGGGGCCCGCTTGCAGATTCTCAACACCTGAAAGACAACATCACAGTGGGAGTTCAACGTCTTTCAGGTCGGAGGCCAGGAGGTGGAGCCAAGATTGGGGAGTGGGGAAGAGAGAGACACTTTTGAGACTTTGCTAGTCTTGCTTGGTGCCCTCCAGATGTTTTGAACTACATCTCCCTGCGTGCTGGATGGGGCTGATGGGAGTTGTATTCCAAAACACCTGGAAGGCCCAAGGCTGGCAAAAGACCTTACCAAGAGAGAAGGTGGGAGCGGGTAAGAGTTTGCCTGTCCCTGTAGCGGTGCCATCAGCAGTTTTCTTGCTTAAAACAAAACCTGGAGTTTTTGCACTGCAAAATGTTCAGCCTTAGAGATAGAATCAGTTTGCTAACATTAAATGTTTTTGAGAGCTCCTGCTCTCTGTGTGTGCGTGCACACCCACCCATCATTCAAGGGGGGGCGCAACTGAGTGTCTTTTCTGACTGTGAGCTAAACAATGTGGACTGACACCCTGCGCTATTAACTGAACCAAAAGATCTCTGCATCTTGAGTGTGTGAATGACTCCGATCTCTCAGCTACCCAGCACTGGACAAGACTTCAGCTGAAGAAGAAGGAACTTTTTGAAAGCAACATATGCCCTTTTGTGCCTTGGTGGGAGGGTTCATGGGTAGGTGGGGGAAATGAAAACGTCTCTGGTAAGAAATTATACTAGCACTTGTGTTTCTTTCCCATCTCTGTCTCTCTCTTCCGCATCACTCTCTTACAAGGCCGTCGGCTTCCATTAGCATCTACCCTTTTTAGTGGAGAATACTTGAAAATTACATGTTGGCTTGTTTAGCGTTTATAGGAAATGAATAAAATCCCATCTTCTCCCCTCCCCTCTCTTTTTTGTTTTTGTGTTTTGGCTGGTTCCCAATCTAATTCAAGATTTCCCCCACCCATGCCCACAATTGAATGTTGGCTCATTCTTTTCCTGTACTTTAATTTATTGTTGTTAAAAATGTGATGTTGATTCTTTGCACTCGCAGTGCTACTCTGCAGAGTGAGTTAACAGCAATTAAGAATGTATATGTGTTCATCTCTCACAGGTTAACGCTTGTGCTGGTAATGAATTTCTCTGCCTTCTCCGTAAGCATAATGTACAAAATAGTCTACTTTAATTAGCATTTGGAGGAAGGGGGGGAGAAATAGTTATTGCTCCAAACCTGTTGCAGTGTTCTCTTTTCTAAGCTTCTGGATTGTGGGGAGACATAGACTTTCTGATGATTTGAATGTGATTTGTTTTATTTAAAACACCAAAGGTTTTGAGGTTGGGTGGGTTGTTGTTTTTTTCTAGGAAATAAAAACTTTCCAAATCTATACCTACTGACTCCATCAACATTTTTTATATTTTGGGGGGTGGGCTTTTGTTTTTTGCTTATTTATTGCATTTATATATCACTTTTTTCTCCAAGTAGCTCAAGGTGGCATACATGGTTCTCCCCTTTCTCATTTAATCCCCACAACAACCCTGTGAGGTAGGTTAGGCTGCGAGGCAGTGACTGGCCCAACATCACCCAGTGAGCTTCATGGCCGAGTGGGAATTGAACCCTGGTCTCTGTGGTCCTAGTCCTTACACTCTCACCATGACACCACACTGGCTCTCAACAGAAACCTAAATAATAATTGTCCGTAACACGCCCTAGAAGAAGAAGAAGAGTTTGGATTTGATATCCCGCCTTTCACTCCCTTTAAGGAGTCTCAAAGCGGCTAACATTCTCCTTTCCCTTCCTCCCCCACAACAAACACTGTGAGGTGAGTGGGGCTGAGAGACTTCAAAGAAGTGTGACTAGCCCAAGGTCACCCAGCAGCTGCATGTGGAGAAGCGAACCCGGTTGCCCAGATTACAAGACTACCGCCCTTAACCACTACACCACACTGGCTCTCTAGGGGCCCACACTGCCCCTGGTATGCGACAAACCTCTCCAGGCGTTGTCTGGTGTTGCTCTCCCCCGGAATGGACATCAGTCTTCATTCCGGTGTGCTCAGTGACACAGGTCGGATGATCCTGTGCACACTATTAATTAGCAGAGTCTGCCGTGACGACTGGAAGCGTGAATGTGAGCATTCTTAGATTTATTTTGCAATATTTACAGGACAAATATTAATGGTGTCTGCTCTCTTCTTCAGCAGCAGACACACAGAGAGAAACACAGTGCAAAAGCACAAGGTAACGGAAAGAGATAAGACTAACTTCAGTCTTCAGGCTTTCCCAGCTCAGGAACGTAAACAGTGACATGTGACTTTCCAGCCACATTTGCTAACAAGAATTACCATGTCTTAATGTTATAACATCCCTGCTTGGCAGTATCTAAAGGTTTTTTTTCTTTTTTACATTTTGCAAAACGCTTTTTATTCATCCTGTACTACTAGCTTTAATGTAGGCAGAAGGAGCAGTTTGCTACTGCATTCCTGTGGGGTGCAACCTGCTACCTCTCTCCTTGCTATCTTCAGAGCAATGGCAGCCGGTGCCCTTTGGGGCTGCTGGGGCGGAAGGCAGGGAGCACCACAGTAGGCAGAGTCAGTGACTCTGGAAGAGTCCAAACCTCCCTTTTTACATATATAATAATTTTTATTTGATTTTACAAATATAGAATTCTAACAATCCAAATTACATATCCCTATTTAGAGATTTCTCCAAATCTCTGGACTTCCCACCTTCCTCTCCATGGATCCTATTGTCCATCTTCTCAACTGCATATTATTTCATAGTCCATATTTTATATCTTTCCATATTATCCAGAATATTCACTACATTACAAGTGTTATTAAAATCCTGCTAAGGTTTTCATCTGGCTTGAGAGCAGTACATGTGAAAAGGATCTAGGAGTTTTGGTTGACCACAAACTTGACATGAGCCAACAGTGTGACGCGGCAGCTAAAAAAGCCAATGCAATTCTGGGCTGCATCAATAGGAGTATAGCATCTAGATCAAGGGAAGTAATAGTGCCACTGTATTCTGCTCTGGTCAGACCTCACCTGGAGTACTGTGTCCAGTTCTGGGCACCACAGTTCAAGAAGGACACTGACAAACTGGAACGTGTCCAGAGGAGGGCAACCAAAATGGTCAAAGGCCTGGAAACGATGCCTTATGAGGAACGGCTAAGGGAGCTGGGCATGTTTAGCCTGGAGAAGAGGAGGTTAAGGGGTGATATGATAGCCATGTTCAAATATATAAAAGGATGTCACATAGAGGAGGGAGAAAGGTTGTTTTCTGCTGCTCCAGAGAAGCGGACACGGAGCAATGGATCCAAACTACAAGAAAGAAGATTCCACCTAAACATTAGGAAGAACTTCCTGACAGTAAGAGCTGTTTGACAGTGGAATTTGCTGCCAAGGAGTGTGGTGGAGTCTCCTTCTTTGGAGGTCTTTAAGCAGAGGCTTGACAACCATATGTCAGGAGTGCTCTGATGGTGTTTCCTGCTTGGCAGGGGGTTGGACTCGATGGCCCTTGTGGTCTCTTCCAACTCTATGATTCTATGATTCTATGATCTGCTTACAGTGGTCTCCTAGATAAATTAGAATTTTTCCCCATTCTTCGTTGAAGTTTTGGTCTTCTTGGTTCCTGAGTCTTCCAGTCAGTTTTGTCACTTCGGCACAGTCCAACAGCTTGGTTTGCCATTCCTCTCTGGTAAGGAACTTTGTCTTCTTTCCATCTCTGGGCTAGCAGCATCCACATTGCTGTTGTCACATACATGAAAAGGCTTTTCTGTTCCTTTGGAATGTCGGTACCTACAATTCCTAATAAAAGGCTTCTGGGTTTGTTTTTACAAAAGTTATTTTAAACATTTTTTTCAATTCATTATACGGTAAGTTGGAATCTGGAGTGTTGCTAGACTGCAGGAGTCTTGCATTCTGAAGTTCTAAGTTAAGAACAGAAGTGGAACCTTTTAAATTGACAGTTATAGCTTGTGTATGGCTTAAGAAGTGTTGATCCTCGTCCTTAAATTCTCCCAACTTAGAGGTGTTGAAACCGAGTTAAAAAAGAGAAGCTTTAAAGTCTTGAGGGAGAAGCAAGTGGCATTTTAGGGCGTATTCTGAAGCAAGGAACTTGTTTGTCGCCTTTGACATGCCCAGCTTGAGTTCTCAAAGTTCCTGAGAGCATTCTTAGGACTTTGCTGTATTTGGCAAGAATTGGATACCAGAAAACCACTTCCGAACTGGAGAGGAGGTGGAATTGTGGGCTTCACGCCCTCTCCACGTGCGCGGGGGCTGGCTCTCAACCTCCGTGCGATTGAGGGTATCCCTGGCTGCATCATCCCCTGGCCAGTCAATTGGCACAAACCAGCCTCAACCGGTTCAAACCTGCTTGGACAAGCACAAACCAGCCTACACAGGTTCAAACAGGCCTAGACATGCTCAAACTGGCTTGGACAGGTTTCAACTGGTCTCAACATTTTCCAACCGGCCTAGACCGGTTCAAACCGGTTTGGACCAGCACAAACCGGTCACGACTGGTTCAAATTGGCTTGGACCAGCACAAACCGGCTTAGACCAGCAGAAACCGGCCTAGACCGGTTCAAACTGGCCTAGACCAATTCGAACCGGCTTAGACCGGCACAAATGGGCTTAGATCTATTGGAACCGGCTTGAAATGGCACAAAGCAGCCTAGACCGGTTCAAACCGGCCTACACCAGTTCAAACCAGCTTGGACCGGAACAAATCGGCATGGACCGATTCAAACCAGCCTAGACTTGTTGCAACAAGTATCAGCTACTTCCAACCAGTCTGGGCCAGTTCAAACTGCTCTGGGCAAGTTGGAACCCGCCTGAACCTTTTCCAACTGGTTTGGGCTGGTTTAAACCGGCTTTGACAGGATCCAACTTGTATGAACTGCTTTTGACTGGGCTGGGCTGGTCCAAGCGACATAGACCTGTTCCAAACAGCTTGGACCTGTTCTAAACAGCTTGGGCCAGTTTCAAATGACCTGCACCTGCTCCAACTGGCCTGGAGCTGCTCGAAGCTGTCTGGAACTGTTCAAACTGGCTTGGGCCGGTTCAAACCAGCCTAGACCTGTTCAAACCGGCTTGAACCAGCTCAAACCGGCTTGGATCGATTCAAACTGGCCTAGACTGGTTGAAACCAGCTTTGACAAGCACAAACCAGCCTACACCGTTTCAAACCGGCCTAGACAGGTTCAAAACAGCTTCGATTGGCACAAACTGGCCTGGAACGTTTTCCAACTGGTTTGGGCTGGTTTGAGCCGGCTTGGATTGGATCCAACTGGTATGACCTGGCTTCAATCGGTCTGGGCTGTTTCCAAGGGGCATAGACCTGTTCCAACTGGTTCAAACCGGCCTAGACCAGTTCAAACCAGGTTGGACCAGCAGAAATTGGCATGGACCAGTCTAAACTGGTCTAGAGTGGTTCAAACCGGCCTAGACCAGTTCAAACCAGGTTGGACCAGCAGAAATTGGCATGGACCAGTTCAAACCGGCCTAGACAGGTTCAAAACAGCTTCGATTGGCACAAAACAGCCTAGACTGGTTCAAACCAGCTTGGACCGGCACAAATCAGCATGGACCGGTTCAAACCAAACTAGACCGGTTAAAAGTGGTTTTGGACAGGTTCAAACCAGCCTAGACCGGATTCAACCGGCTTGGACCGGTTCAAACCAGCCTCGACCGGTTCAAACCACCTTGGACCAGCACAATTCGGCTTGGACAGGTTCAAACCAGACTAGACCTGTTGCAACAAGTCTGAGCTAGTTCCAACAACTCTGGACCAGTTCAAACTGGTCTGGGCAAGTTGGAACTTGCCTGAACCTTTTCCAACTAGTTTGTTTTTTTATATATATAATTTTTTTATTAAGGTTTTAAACAACAAAAGAGGGAAAAAAACAACACACACAAAAAACAGTACAAAACTCAACAACAAAAAACACAAAGCATAACAATTAAAAACAAACTCTCTTTTCCATTTCCAATTTTAAAATACTTATTTTCTGGACTTCCTCATACCTCCCTCTTTTGTATTCCAATCCACATTATTTGTCCAGCAGTTTCTTTTCCACTTTTTTAATCCCAATCTTTAACTTAATAAAATGTTAAAATATATAACTTCAACTTTTTAAAACCTAATCCTTGATCTTAATATCATATAACTTTAAAATTTTCCCTTTTAATATCAAATTTCCATTTCTTTAAACATCTTTAATCTTGATCTTTAATCTTAATCTATCATTAACTTTAACCTGTGCAGCTGGAAACCACTTACTTTCAGTCCAACATCCCTTTAACATTCCTTAATTTTGCAATGTTTCTGAAGATAGTCTTTGAATTTCTTCCAGTCTTCCTCCATCGACTCTTCTCCCTGGTCACG